TTTGAAATATATACAACACACTACTTGAGAAAACTTGTGAAATCAATCTGTGAAACTTTCATATACGTGACTTTCTCTCGCATTCAAGAATCTTTTCATATCATAAGGTGCTTGTGATCAGAATTGTGGTCAATCAAAGAGAGAAAGTGTTGTTAGAATTTGTTCGGACAATTAGAACTTCAAGTTCGGGTTTTTCTTTCCATACTCTTTTGTAAAAGTGTGATTGTGCAGGTTGGATTGTGATCTGCACTTGGTACAGTAACTGAATTTGGTTACTGGGTGGTTTTCAAGATTCTATCTTGTGGGTTTGCAAGATAGTTCTTGGGGTAGATTGGTGAGTATCTACTGGTTGTAATTTTCACTTGGTATTAGTGGAACTTGACTGGTTTGTCAAGAACTGGATGTAGCTCTGGATTAGAGTGAACCAGTATAAATTTGTGTGTTAAAATTCTTCTTTCATCTCTTTTATTTTCTGTCTATAAACTTGTCGTGTTTAAACCAAATTACCTTTGCAAAAATTGAATAAAGATAACTCATTCTTCCAAAAGAAAGTAAGTTTTGCGAAAAAGTTTTAAAGTTCAATTCACCCCCCCCCCTCTTGAACTCAACCATTAATTCTTTCATCTTCTACAGATAAATCGCACATAGAGCACAAAGCAGAATCCAACTGCACTCCACTCCCCTGCAGAAGCACCCTGTAGGGAACAGAATTCAAGAAAAGTTGCCAAGAAAACACCAAGCATTTGATAGGTGCTTTACCTTTCCAAAGTCTGCACAACACTTCCTGGAGATTAACATCAAGAGACGGAATATTAACTAGAAGAGTTGACAGCCAACCATAAGCCGACTTAACAGAATATAACCCTGAAGCATCAACCAGCCAACACCAGTGATCCTCGAGGTGAGGCTGCAACATAAATCCATCCAGAATTTCCATCAAACTCGCTACCAATGACAACTCAAATGAGAAGGGCAGACGGCGCCAAGGAATGTCCCAAACCCAATTATCTCCAGACCAATTACCATTCTGCACTACAACCGAAGAGGGATCGAGAGCAAAGGAATATAATCTGGGAAAAACCTCCTTAAGCCTAAAGCCACCCAGCTACCTATCCTCCCAAAATCTCGTCGAAGTACCATCCCCCACAACCCGTAATGTCTTGTCATCCACCCATTGTCCTCATACCTGTAACGTAGACACAAGGTCCCGTCACCAACTAGAAACACGCCTATTCACCAAACATACACTCAACAATGACGGGACCAGGCCATACCGCGCCTGAAAAACCTGCACCAAAAGACTTTCTGGATATGATAAGCAACGCCAGATCTATTTGCCAAGTAAAGCGTAATTAAACACCTTCACATCCTTAATTCCAAGCCCACCAGCTCCCTTCGCCCGACAAACCAACTCCCATCGGACCCAAGGGATCTTAAACAGATCCTTAACCCCATTCCACACAAAAATTCTCTGAATAGTGATTATATCCTTTACCACAGAGTTAGGGACTTTGAAGAAGGAGAAGAAGTGGATAGAAATAGAATTTAGCACCGAGTTAATAAGAGTAACCCGACCACCAATTAAAACATACTTGTACTTTCAAGATGAGAGCCGACGTCGCATATTCCCTAACACAACATGACAAGTGTAATAATATATTCTGATAACTACAGTTAGAAACTAAATAATATTTTTGATAGAAGAAAACTAAATATTTAGGTATGTTTTGTTTTTTTTTTCATCCCTGTCAGTTGAATTAGGGTGTTCTTTATTATGTCCAACTACCATAATTAAATGAAGCAAATTATTATGCCAAAAATATTTGTCTATAAAATGAATGCATAAATAGGAGATGCCTATTAAATGAAGGAGAAAAAACCTTTTACCAATAAAAGATGGTAGTAATCAATAATTTGAAATGGTGACGAACCCTATCACTCTCTTACTACCATAATTTCATGCCTTGTTTTGTTAATTTCGTAAGTCGTAATGGTGGAAATTGCAATTTTAAGCATTTATGTTTAAAACGTTCTTCCTACCGCAATATTTAAAACAAAGTTGACTTGGCTTGGCTCCATTACCAACTCCATTTAATTAAACACTTCTTAATCAAACTGTTTCTTTTTTTATTTTTTTTTTGCGTTATTATGTTCGAGACTTTATGTGCCATTCAAGAACTAGGGGAAAAAAAGGTGGTTATATCATTATTTACACAATTTACGAAATTATTTAGACATGTAAGAACATTTTTAAAATGAGTGGTTAATTGTTTAAGAATAAAAATAAATATTTTAGTATGAATTTCTTTTTAAAATAAGGAAAGTTGTTTAAAATTGAAAGAAAATTACTTATATAAATAAATTTAACCAAATTTGTGATATGTATAATAAAATATTTTATTTTATTCTTAAACAAATTTTATAAAAACTTCTTTTAAAAATATCCTAAGTAAATAAATATAAGCACACTAATGAAAAAAATAAATAAATGCGATACATCTTTAATGAAATAATAATTATTTGTTTTTATTTGAATAAATTAATTAGAACTTTTACTATTTATTAACTAAACTTTGTTATACACATTATTATAACTCAATAATGAATGTAAAAAATAGGAATAAAAAAAAAGATGCATATAAAAAAGTCAAAATAAAAACAATAATTATTATACAAACTAAAATGATTATTAATTTCAGATTTAACTATTGAATATATTATATAGTCCTAAATTATTATTTTTTCAATCATTATATGAATTATATATAAACTTTTCATATCGAATTTATAGAAACTTTAATTAGCCTACTTATAAAATGTTATTCAATAACTTCATTTTATGAAGTGGGGTGAACACTTTTTTTTCTTTAATAATTTGAAAATTCTTTGAGTGAAACATTAAATTTTTCGTGGTAAAATATTGAATTTTCACAAACTACTTTTCGGCATTGCATTCATAGCACTATCATTCTCTATTGTAATGTATTTAAGTGAAAAACATTTTGGTAGACACATAGTTTTAACCTAACTCTCATCAGATACTAATATACGTAAAAAATTAATGTTAATAATACATTGTTTAAATCAGATCGTTTTTTATTCGTTTAAACTCCAATTTATGTTGTGTTAAATACCTATTTAATGTTTTTCATATAGATTAAAAACAATGTAATTAAATAAATAAAATAATATATTTTTGTTGAAAATTATATAGAAACATAACGAGAAATCACAAAAAGAAAAAAAAATATTTTTTCTATTTTAATAAACTTCTCTCTTTTAATTCTGTTAACTTGTACCTTTAGAATAACTATTAGCATTGTCACAACTTATACAAATTTATATCAAAATAATTTTTTGTTTTATAACTTTCTATACTATTTTAAAACATTTCATTTATACTCAAATATTTCTATACCATTTCCACTTAGAAAATAACACTATCCTCTATTGTAATTACCTTATACTAACCAATAAAAAGGATATAATTAAAAAAATATACAAATACGTATTGAAATTCTCAACCAAAGTTTTAAACAACCAGAGGAGTATAGAGAATGATGAGTTGTTGTTTTGAAAAACGGTGATTAATTAGTTTACCAATCTCCCAAAACATAAGTTCATTTTCAAAATATAAATTAATAAATTAACTAATAAATACCAGAAAGTAACTGAAGAAGGAGCATATTAATCAGAGAGGATATATTATTTTGTAGCTTAACGGTAACAAATAAATATATCATATAGTAAAATTAAGGAGGAATTTTTTGAAAAAGGTTAAAAATTATTACTACAAGGCGTGGATGGTAATGTTAGCACCACATTCGTCATCATCACCAACATGATTCACTCGTGAGTGATGACACACATACTATAAATTTTTATACCACATTTTACAACTTATTTTTTTCTTAATACCATTTTTTTAATATTTCGTAATTTATAAAATTGATTTACCGAAGCATTATCCTTGATTAGGTTAATTTGATTTGATTCTTTGAACATGGTAAAGTTTATGAGGGGCCCACTGTTACCAACTCAAGTGGCAAGGTCTCAATATGAGCAGAACCAGCTGGTCCTGTAATTCAAACTATCCTGGCTTAGCATTTGGCAAGATCTGATTTCCCTCTTCACAAGAGAAAGAGAAAGAGAAAAAGGATTTGGTGTTGCAACCAAGCAAGTGTGATCTCCAAGTTCCAATCTTTTGGTTCTGAGAGGGACAGGGTAAGAAGAAACAAACATATTTGAGATCTGTCACTTTGTTTCAGTTCAGGTACTCTCATTTTACATCTTCATTGGACCCTAACAAAATTCAACTTCATCTCTGTTTTTTTTATCCCATCTTACACTTTCTCACTTTCTATTTTCTCTGTAATTCCCTCTTATTTTTTAATGTCCCGGCAATTTCTTTTCCTTTTGTGAAAACTGGTAACCTCAACTTTCACTACAAGTATGTTCCAGCTAACTAAACTGCTTGAATCTGAAGTCACGCCTCATTTGTGAAAGAAAATGCAAAAGGGAAAATTAATTCAGTAGTTCTCTTTTGACTCAGTATTATTTGGTGAACAAGGTTTAGAAACCTCTTCATTGGTTTTGGGTAACGTGATTTGCTTTCATTTATGGGTGCCCCAGATACAGTTAATGAAGAATTGATTACGATTATTAGGAATTTGGAGTCCATTTTGCCATAATATTATTCTAATGCTATTTCCTTATTATTTTCATGACAATTTTCTCCTGCAGAAGGTTTTGGTCTTTTCCGTTTCTTAAAACAAGGAAAGGAATAATTATGCTGTTGGCTTACGCAATTATTGAGACTCTATCTTTTTTAGTGTCAATTTGCTATCTGATAATGACATTTAATAATATTAGCAGATGCCATTGGATTTCTGTTAGAAAAATAACTTCTTTTAGTTTATGAGATTTCAGATCTTTAAATTTTCCTCTCTCTCTGTTTTTATCTTTTAGTGTGAAGGATCGTATCGAGGAATGCCAAGAAAATGGGGAGGAAGGGAAACTGGTTTTCAAGCGTGAAGAAAGCTCTCAGCCCCGACTCAAAGGAGAAGAAAGATCAGGTTTGAATGAAAGTAAATTCAAAGTTTCGCAATTTTCTGGGATGTTTCTTATAGTTTTATCAATTACTTTTGCAGAAATCAAGTAAATCTAAGAAGAAATGGTTTGGGAAGCAAAAATTGCAGACTTCAGTCTCATACTCAGAAGCTGATAGCGCACCACCACCATCACAACCTGTTCCTCCATCAGAAGAGATAAAATTAACTGATATTGAAAATGAAGTCAGTCATGATCATGATCATGTTGTTGAAGTCGTAACCTCCGTTGATGCTGAGGAACCTGTTCCTCCTGTTCAGATAGAAACTGTTAGGGTTGGAGCTGCCCGGAATGCTCGTTTTCCTGGTAAACCAAAGGATGAAGTGGCAGCAATCAAAATTCAAACAGCTTTCCGAGGATACTTGGTATGGGTTACAATTTTCAGTTAACGCACTAATTTACTTCTTTAATTTTTCCCCTCTCACTCTTTTAGGCAATTCATTTAACTCAGCATTTAATGAGAGTAGTGTTACCTTTTATTTGTTTTCCCCATAAAAATCCTTCATAAAACTCACTTATATTTATTCAAGAGAAGATACAATGCAAAGCACTTTAAAATCAAGTCCCAAGTAGAAAAAGTTTATTAAAGGACAAAACTTAGATACAATTTCATAAATACTTTTAGTGATGTTCTTCAATCAAAATTGAAATTTTGTCTTGTAATCTATGTTGACCTCTAATGTAAACCCTTTATTATGTGAATTACTGAAGTGAAACTCCTATTTTGATTAGAGAATAGCTTCAAAAGTACCTAAGAAAATACATTTCAAGTTTTTTTTTTTTTTTTTTTTTTTTTTTTTTTTTTTTAAGTACATATCTGATGAATGCAACTCCACCTTTAATTCATGTCAACCACACTAAACAAATGCACTCTTCTCCTTTTCTCTATATTATTATTAGGCTCAACAAAGGGAGGGTTGGCATTTGCTCTCGAAAAATTTATGAGTAACAGTACATTGTTACATCACATATTTATACTAGGGGTATTGTGTCGGTTTTTTTTCATAATAAAAGGTTTGAATGGAGGTTAAGGGGATGAGATCAAGAGAGTAGACTATTTTTAATATGTTACTACAAGAGAAAAGCTTCAGCTACAAGAATAATGTAGCCATTTCTTGTTTACTAATTATAAAAAGTTTTACTGTAACGATAAAAAATTAACTCTTTAAATTTGGATCTACATACTATATTTGTTAAATGTGCTCTGTATACACACAGTTATGAAGCTGACTGACAGTGTCAATAGATAGTAACCACAAAAGAACTTGTTATTTGAATTACTTTTCAAACTAGTCTTTGAAATCATTTAGGCAAGAAGAGCATTGCGAGCTTTAAGGGGGCTGGTCAGGTTGAAATTATTGATGGAAGGGCCGGTTGTAAAACGCCAAGCCACAAGTACCCTTCGATCTATGCAGACATTGTCTCGCTTGCAGTCTCAGATTCGCTCCAGGAGGATCAGAATGTTAGAGGAGAATCAGGCTCTGCAGAGACAGCTCTTACAGAAGCATGCAAGAGAGCTTGAGAGCTTGCGGGTCTGGGTTTCATTTCCTAATTTAATTTGGAATGCTAATCTTGTTTGAATTTTAGACATGTGTTTGGAATGCTTTTTTAACTTGCTACAAATTATCATAATAGATGGGAGAGGAATGGGATGACAGCCTACAATCAAAAGAACAAATCGAAGCCAAGTTACTAAGCAAGTATGAGGCTGCTATGAGAAGAGAAAGAGCATTGGCTTATGCATTCACTCATCAGGTGTGTTAATATATCTCATCAATTTACACATGTGAGGAAATGGATGAAAAATTTAATATAAACTGAAAGATCTTCAAAAAATTTCACATATTATAAACACAAAAATGAGAAATCAAGCGTCCTTATTATACTATTGTTTATACTCTTCATTTTTTTTCCTTCTCTTTTGATGCTGCAACTTAGTCTTGATAAGTGCACAAATACTTTTCTATCCTGTTACTATCTTCAGAGCCCTATTCTCCACTTAAACCTCTGCACTCTCCTTTCTCACTACTAGTGATCTTTTGCAATCCAATGATATGCTAATGGTTTGTTAAGCTGCAGCAATAAGTTATTCCTCAATTTTTGTCACTGACAGTACTTAGTTGCTGAAATAAAGTGGCATGTTATACTATGCGCTTAGTATATTTTGAGTGAATAGCATAGAATGTTTGCCTAGGATATAATATACAATCATGAGGGTAAGTTCCTCAATTTTTTGAAAAAATTCAGTGTTTGATATTCGGTGAAAAAAAACATTGGCAGCAAAACTGGAAGAACTCATCTAGATCTTTAAATCCAATGTTCATGGATCCAGCCTATCCTGCCTGGGGTTGGAGCTGGCTGGAACGTTGGATGGCAGCCCGGCCTTGGGAGAACCGTAGCCAGATGGATAAAGAGGTGAATGACCCTGCATCCGTAAAAAGCTCAAGTCGCAGTATTACTGGCGGAGAAATCAGCAAGTCATTCGCTCGTTTCCAGCTCAATTCTGAAAAGCACTCTCCAACAGCTAGCCAAAATCCTGGCTCACCTAGCTTTCAGTCCACTCCTTCCAAGCGAGTCTCAGCATCTGCTAAGAAACCGAAGAAGGTTAGTCCAAGGGGCAGCTGGATTACGGACGAGGACTCTAAAAGCTTGGTTAGTGTACAGTCAGATCGGTTCCGGAGGCACTCAATCGCTGGTTCATCAGTTAGAGACGATGAGAGCCTTGCTAGCTCTCCGGCAATTCCAAGCTACATGGTGCCAACTCAATCTGCAAAAGCCAAGTCCAGGACACAGAGTCCATTAGCCCCCGAAAATGGAAAAACTGAGAAAGGATCCTTTGGGACTGCAAAGAAGCGGCTATCTTTCCCAGCCTCACCTGCCAGGCCAAGGCGCCATTCAGGTCCACCAAAGGTTGAAATCAGTTTAAATGCCGAGTTAGCTGTGGACAAGGGTGTGGACAGTTGATCATACAAATAAAGGAATTAAAACCATTAAATTAGAATTGAAATATATCACTGAAGGAATAGCACAAAAAGAGTTCATTTAAATTGAGTGTTCCATTTATTTATTTTTCCTATTTTTATGTGTATCCTAACTTTTCTTGGAGGCTTTTGATTTGGGGTGATATTTGTTTTACTTACTATATTTATTAATTTGTATTTTCTTTCACTTTGCTCTATTTGCCCTGAGGGGAAGAAATGCCATTCATGGTCAAATGACAGAAGGACAAATGAACTGTCAGAATCCTTTCTGTGCTTCCCCAATCAAGGACAAGTATCATTCTGGTCAAAGTTCCTTATTCTTGATTCTTAGTTGTGATATAAATGTAAATTTAATTTCCTTGTCTAATTCCTTTGATGCTACTATGTTTTGCTTTGAAAATAGATCAAGGAACCGATTAAATATAATATCCTCAAACGAATAATACACCTGTAAATGTGGTTAGCATGTTGGAGCTTATTTTATTGCCTTACCCATCCTATTCCCTGGAACAGAAAAGGTCTCTGCCAACATGCACTTCTATTTTATTTATTGCTAATTTTTCATCCCCCCATTTTTTTTTTTTTTTTTTTTTTGGGTGAGGATTGAGGATTCATATTTCATCAATCGGTGGTTGAAGTGGGGACTTCCAGCTCATATAAGTACTCTGATGGAAGATCCCAACTCATTAGTACTATCAATCTACCTTCTCATGTTAACTGCCTCATTCTTTGCCAACAGAATTTGAAATTTCCAGTTTGTTTTAGAATATGCTAGATAAAGTTCATTGTCTGTTGGTCGGATAGAATTTCAACAAAAATTTGTAATAATATAAAGAGGAAGAGAAAAAGGAGTTTTTATTTGTAAGCAACCATGTTAGAAGGATATATAAAGATTAAATAAATCTTTCTAAAATGAGCATTCGTGTAGGAACAATGTGCAATGTAACTTTTTTCCATATACAGAATAGCATTCTATCTGTTTTCGGAGATCAGTGTTGAGTATCATTTATTTCTTTAAACAGTACAGTACTGCATTAATTATCTCCACTTTTCGAATTAATTGAAACACCAAATGTAGTTGTTTATACTATATTTATTTCTCCTAATTTCACATAAAAATAATTATTTTTCTTCTATATTTGTATTTATTCTTCATAGGTATGAGTTGTGTAATTTTGAATAATAATGTAAAAATCCAATTCAAATTGCCATAATTGATTTTGTTTTATATAAGTGACTAAACATGTTTCTAGAAAACGATTTTTATTCTAAAAAAAGGTAATATAGTTTATTAATTATTTATACTTCAAACACTTAAAATTTTCACCTTGTAATATACCCACGTAAGAGACCCCATAACTGTGTTTGAACTGCTGAGCATCTAACAAATGCAGCAATAGCGTGTCTTATGATTCCCTCACACCTCCAGAGTCTATGTTCAACTTAATAACACCTTCTCTCGGAGGTTTCCAGCCGATAAAGGTTTCATATTTACACTATTAGATAACTTTTCTATTTGAAAAATTGATTATGCGATTAAATTAATTCCAATGTAACATTGGTTTATCACAAAAAAACAAAAAAACAAGAAAATGGAGAAAAAGAAAACAATCCAATATTAAGATAATAATACCTCAACAACTATATATTTTATGAAAGAATATGTATATATGAAAAGTTAAAGAAAAAACAAAATTATTTAACTTTTTGACTTGACTATTTATTAAAACTCATCCTCAAGTAAAAAATTATACATCAATAATATTAATTTGCTCTCTAGACTTTTAAGCCTTTTAAACTTTAAAGTTTTTGTTAAAATGTCAACAAGTTGTATCTCAGACATGCAATGCTCACGAATGAAGTGAAATTTGGTCTCAATATGTTTGTTTCTACCATGAGAGACTAGATACTTGACAATATCCATTACAGATTTATTATCAATTAACAATTTTAATTTACATGTTTGTTTTACTTTCAATTAATTCATCAGTAAACTAAGTCAAATTGTTTGACAAACTGCTTCAGATGCAGTTATATACTCAGTCTCACAAGATGAGAGAGCCATCACTGGTTCCTTTGTAGAGCTCAAAGAAATTAGTGTCTCTCCAAGGAAGAACATATACCAGTCATGTTCTTTTTATCACTCTTGTCACCACACCAATTAGCATCAGAATCTCATCAACATATCATCTCTTTTTGACAGCAAAATTCTAGATTTTCAGTTCCATGTAGGTATCTAAGTATGTACCTCACAACAAGAAGACGTGATACTTTTGGTTCTTGCATATATCTACTCACCAATCTAACACTGAAATGGTCTAATGTTACACAGATACCTCAGACTTCCAACAATGTTTCGGTATTGTGTAGGATTAACTTCCTTTTCATCAAGAATTTTCTCAAGCTTCAATCCTACTTCTACAGGTGTGTTGGTAGGATTACTTTCTTGCATTCAAAATTTCTTCAACATATCATGGATATACTTTATCTGATGCATAGTCATTTCATATGGAGTTTGATTGAACTTAATACCTAAGAAATAACTCAGATTTTTCAAGTCACCCATCTCAAACTCCTTTAGAAGTTCATTATTGCAGCAAGCTATAAACTCTTTGCTACTGTCAATGATCAAAAGATCATCAACATACAAACATATGATGATTTTTTTCAACTTTGTTGTTGTTCTCCCAGACTTTTATATAGACTCCATGTTCGGACATACACATAACAAAACCAATTTTGTCAAGAAAGTCATCAATCCACTTGTTCCATGTTCTCAATGTTTGCTTAAGCCCATATAAGGTCTTTTTCAGCCAATACATTTTATGCTCTTTACTCTTATGCTCAAACCCCCTAGGTTGTTGCACATAAACCTCTTCTTTAAGAGGGTCATTTAGAAAAGCTGATTTAATATCTAACTGGTGTAAGGACCAGTTAGCATTCGTGGTAATAGTAACCATTAATATGATGGTTTCAATTCTAACAATAGACGCATAGACTTCACCATAGTCTATCCTAGCTCTTTGCAAGAAACTTTTGGTTACAAGCCTTGCTTTGTATCTTATAACCTTATCCTTTGGATTTACTTTAATCTTATAAACCCACTTAAGTGCGATTGATTTCTTATCTAGTGGCAACTTAACAAGCTCCCATATCTGATTCATTTTAATTGAATCAATCTCCTCCTGCATAGCTTTCCACCAATGAACATCTTTGGCTACATCTTCGAACATGATTGACTCAGACTCTGTATGAGCGCAAAATGCACTAGATTTCCCTTTATTAACACAGCTAAGTCACTAAACACTTCATAATCACGAAGATGAGATGAAAGTTGTGTAACTCTAGATGATCTTCTCGCACCAAGATCAACAGGGTTTGTTTTGTTCCATTGGATCCTCATCTTCAAATAACACTTTGAAAGCATTTGAATTCTCTTTGATGATTGTCCATGTTCAGTTGGTTGACTCATCAAAAAAGATATTCCTACTAATTGATACATATTTTGAGATGAGGTCAAATAGTTTGTATCCACCTGTCACATGATAACCAACCAAAATTTGTGGTGTGCTTTTATTATCAAGTTTCTTTCTAAACTGCTAAGATACATGCTTATAAGACACTAACCTGAATATCCTAAGGTGTGACACATCAGGCTTTACACCTATCCAAGCCTCTTCAGGTGTCATAATCTCCAAAATTTTGGTGGGAGACATGTTCATCACATGTGCAGCTGTGACAACTACTTCTCCCCAAAAATAACTTGGCAAATACTTGTTTTTCATCAACATGCAATGGATCATATTCAACAAAGTTTGGTTTCTAGGCTCAGCAGTACCATTGTGTTAAAGAGTGTACACTGGAGTAAACTCATCGATAATGTCTTCTTTCTCGTAATGGACACCGAATTCGGCTGAGGCATATTCACTTCCACCATCAGATCGCAACATATGTATCTTGCTTCCACTTTATTTTTCAACCATTCTTTTAAATTTTTTAAACACAAACAACACTTCATTTTTCCTTCTCAACAAATAAACTCACATTTTCTTTGTGAGATTATCTACAAAAATAACAATATATCTATTTTCACCAAGTGTTTCAACTTGCATTAGCCCGCAAACATCAGATTAAACCATACCAAACTTCTCAGTTACTTTGTCAGCCACAAATTTCTTGAACTTTGGTCTGACCTACTTGCATTGAATGCATTTTCTACAAACTTCATTTGAAATTACAATTGAGGGGAGTCTAGTAACCAAATTCTTGTGACTAAGCTTATACAAATGCTGAAAATTCAGATGACCGAACCTATTATGTCATAATCACTCACTCCTATTATATGCAGTGGCAAAACATTCATGCCTTCATGTATTCATACAAACACATAAGGTTCTGTTTTCAGAAAGATTTGCATGAACCACCAATTTATGATTTTATCATATACACTCAAACCATTCTTCTTCATTTTCATGACAAATCCTTTCTGCAAAAAATGTCTGAGACTCATGAAGTTTATCTTTAAATCTAGTACATATAGCACATCATTAATGATGATTTCTCTATTATTATGATCCTTCAATACTACACATCCAACCTCTTCTTTATTAAGATTATTGTTGTCGGAAAATTTGATTTGGATTTGAAACGCATCATTAATCTTGATCAACCAATCTCTCCCCCCAGTCATATGCTTGGAACACTCAAAATCAAGGTACCAAGAAGAGATTTTCTCTAAATTTATATAATTGGTTTTGTTCATCAGCATCACTACATTAGAATCTGAAGAAGCTTTATCTTGAGCTAAATTAGCTTGGTTCTTTGGCTTGTTCTTGGCACTTTTACCATCCCAGAATTCACATGCAAAGTGACCATACTTTTGACTGTTGTAACACTTTACTTTATTTTTGTCAAATTTCTATTCTTTATCATCATTAGAAGTGTTTTGTTACTTCTTGTATCTTTCTTATTCTTGAAAGTATCATTTGTTTTCTCATATTGTTTTTTCTTTTTGAATGTTTTCTATTCTTTTGAGGTGTTGTCTTTTCTCCTTTGGATTGTTTTAACTTGAAGAATCTACTCTTGATTATACCTCCTCTCATTAGTCCTAAACTCATGTGCTTTAAGAGAATGCTACAAAGCTTCTACCTGCATCTCCTTCAAGTATTTTGTTTCTTGAATTGTCACTACAACATGATCAAATCTTTGCAACAATGTTCACAGAATCTTATCAACAACCTGTTGATGAGTGATTGTGTATCTACAGACACTCATTGTATTCACATGCTTTTTAACTTTATCAAAGTAATAAACAATAGTTTCATTCTCATCCATGTTGAGAAACTCAAACTTCTTCCTTAAGGTCTGCATCTTGACCTTTTTGTTTTTGTCTCCATCTCCATAAGTTTTCAGTAAAATCTCCTAACACTCTTTCATTATTGCAACTTTAGAAATTTTGTTGAAAATCTTTGGTCTAACACATTGGTAAATGAGAAATCTGGTTTTGCTGTCTAGCTTTTGAATATTCTTAAAGTGCTTCTTAGCTTCTTTTGTAGCCTTGTCTCTAGGCGCCCACTCATGACCACATCCGCCACATCTTAAAACCAAAAAATAATTAACATTTTTATCCTTCAATCATCAAAACCCTTTACATCAAACACTGATAGTGCACCTTGAATGATACTTCAATTCCCAGCCATCTCAAATCTATAAATCTAAAAGTTTCATCAATCTTGATATACCTTCAACTCTTCTTTGGTATTTTTAAGATTGTTCACCATTGAAATTAGCCACTAACTTCACACGCCGATACTCACCCCAGCGCTGACAACAAAGATAAGAAAGTTTTACTTCACTCATAGGACAAACATTGCTCTTGATACCGTGTTAATTCCTATGTAATTTATCACATAGAAACAAGAAAATGAACGATATATAACAACAATACAAAAACAACGAGTAATATTAATCAGTGAAATATATTAACAACTATATATCATATGAATGAATATGCATATATATAAATATAATAATGTACAAGAAAAGTTTTAAAACAAAATTAACTAGCTTTTTTTACTTGACTATTACTAAAAAGATAACACCTTCTCTAGTAGGTTTAAAGGTTTCTTATTTATAAAATTGATTTTATTAAAAAAATTGTTTAGACATTTTTTTATGCTTAAACATTTAGAAAATAAAGTAATTTATTTTAAATATTTTTATTCTAAAAACAAATCAATAAAACTCGGTATAATTATTTTTATCCAACATAATAATTATCTGAAATTATTGCAATTGAACACCTCAATCTTTATATAGAACCATTTTACGTCATATCTCAACTGTTTTTGGATTATGCGAATCGAAACCCTAGCCATCACCCATTCTTCTTAGTTAACAAGTGTAACTAAGTGACATTCCTCTTATCTGTAAGAAATTCAAATAAAAATAGTATTATTATGGTGTAAGGAGATATGGATTGAATCGTATCATTACAAAATAGTACAACATCATTTGATATGATAATAATTATTCTCTCTATTGAGGTCTACATCTTGCAAGACTTGTAATCTTGATTGATGGTAAGAAATATGTGCTTGGTTAGTATATTTTCCCTCTATGTCATGTCTAATAGCAATTTCAGTGGTATATATTTGATTGTTGTTCCGAGTCAAGTTCTTAATAAATTATTTTGTTAGGTTTTTTTCATGCCGAATTTAAAATGTCATTGCAGATCACTTCTTAAGACAAGAACCAAAAGATGTTTTACATGGAAAGGTCAAACATCACTTTGAAGCTGGTTTAATCCTTTGTTTGTGGCTCATTGTCTGACACTGCACAGTGAGAAAATTTAACATGCAGTGATGAAATAAATGCATACATCGAGACGAGAAACTCTGTTAATGTTATAACAACTTTACTACAGGCATGCCTTTTGTAGTTATAAGAAGGCTTAAAACCAAAGCGTTTTATTATCATCATTGCTACCACTTTCTTCCCTAGTAATCTTAGTTTCCCTCTCTTCTGCTCCATCATCATTTAATACACTGGTAGTTTCTACTTTGGTCTTTACATCTAGGAAGTATATTAACCGAATATTTTCTATTTTTTAGTTGTATTTCTCTTTTCTTCACTTCTTTTTAAAATCTGTGATCGAGCTGAATAAAGAAAAAGTTCTTCCTCCATGATATTGGTATTTGGATAGGCGTAAGGAATACGCTACATATCTTCTGTATCCCCCACTTCAGGCATGTTATTTAGACACAGAAAATGTTCTGTAAAAACAATAAAAATGGGACAACCAAAATTGTCCAAAAAAGTACACTATGTAGTGCCATATACAATGTAAATTTTTTGAAATTGGCTTCTCATGAATAGCTTTTGAGAATACTAATATTATGTTTAAATAGCAGAGTTTACTAAACCCTAATATTCGTACAATGTCTTTTAAACATCCTTTATAAACATAATAAAGTCCTATTGGATCTTCCTATGTAGGTTCAGACAGCTAAAATGTTATTTGCTTAGAAAGGAGAAGGTTAGGAAAAACAATGTAGGTGACTATTTTACCTGGACCAATGAAGCTCTCATGATTCAACATTTTAAGAACTGTAACGAATGCTCTCTCTCCTTGAAGCTCTTCCATGCATAGAATAAGAGCCGCATGCGTTATTTACATCAAACCTAATATGTTTACTATTCCGTGTTAGAATTAGATATTTGTGAAACATCTTCCGTATTTTCCTCCAATGCAGTTTCCTCTTGTCGTTCAAATGAACCTTGTGGGGTTCCAAAAAGATTGAAGAAAATCTTCCAATATGGCACTCAATCACAGAAAAAGAAATACGAGAAGTGGCCCTCGCTTGGAAGCTTATTTATATAGATTACTTCCTCTGGCAATTCCCGTGATATATGTATTCCGTCATTGATGATGATGGAACCACTATATAGTAAGATTCACACACAAGTAACAAGTAACAAAGTAACTTTTTTGTTTTTTTTTTTATATGGTATATAACGATTGAGTTTTGGGGAGGAACTATAGTGCTAGTGTGTCACTACTAAATGTGTGTTCTGATTTCAATTCCATTCAATTTTTTTTATAAGGAAAATGATAATTTGACAACCCAAATCCATACAACTCCTGTATACAACTCTCTTTTAATATTATAATAATAGTTTTAATTTATTTTTATTTTTATTAAATCATTCAGTAGATTATTATATTAATAAAAGTGAGTTGTTTGAAGGGTTGTATAATTTGTGGTTGTCAAAATATCACCACCCATACTTATATGTTTATACACTTCAAATTCAATACTCATGTATTTTTTTTTTTAATTATGAAAGTTTGATAATTTTAAGATAGATATTGTTCTTTTTTGTTTTACTTATTTTACCATTTATCATTTTAAAAATAAATAAATTATAAAATATAATTTAAAAAACTAATAAAATCATTTATTATGTATCATACTACTTGAGATTGAGATATTGATGAATATTCAACGAAAACACAGTATGCCTGACAAAAGAATGGGCCGAAGAATGCAAAGAAAATGGGCTTTAACAACACTGATCCCTAACCCAAATAAGTGTAGGCCCAAAGTTATTAACCTAAACCTAATAGTCCAGAAATATAGGCCCTAACTTAGCAGCGTTTAATCTTTATATAAACACCACCGCGCTCCGTTTCCAGACTAGGGTTTTGAACTGCGGCTGCTTCTCAGGCTTCATTTTCTCCGACTTCATAATTTCCATCTGCGAAGAACCAAACCTCTGTCATCATGGGGTAATGCAACCTTATTTTTTCGACAGTTATTATTGTTCTCATCTTATATCCTGAGCAAATTGTTGTCATTACAGAATTCTCCTGAATTGCTATGTGTGATTTTTAATTTTGATGTTTGTTCACTTTGAAATTTTATAACGCCCTTAATCCTTCTCTTGCTCAATTTTTATGAAGATTGGATAAGTGGCATTTTTATGGGCTGTTTTTCTCTTTCACTACGGAGTTTGTATCATGTGGTCTGTGTGATTGGATTAATGGATGGATCGTTGCTTTGGTAGATCTGTGTCCACTTAATCTTCTCAGTGCTTTTTCTCATATGAAAACGTTGTATTTTTCTACATGTCAGGATTAATCTGCGTTATTTGTTTCATAACTTGGCATTATATTTTCTGATGGTGCTTGTAACTCCGTATATTTTGTAGTTGATGTTTCTAAGCCATCTTTTGTGATTTGGTATTTCACTCACTGAAACGCTGTAATTTCATTGTATTAGGAGCAACTGCCTATTGGGATGCTACTGTTGTTGTGGTTTTAGGATTTTTAGACCGTCTGAATTATTTATATTTGTTTTCATTAACATTTTCCATCTATAATCCTTTTAGAGATTATGTTATTGGCAGGTATCGTATTCATTAAGATAGTGCTATTTATATATTTGTTCATTGTTTTTAGATCAATGGTGTAGTGGGATAGAACCAATATTGTTGTTATATTGTTTTATGATCAATGTAATGCTGTTTATTTATTTCCGTTAACAATTTTCTCAGTTTATTCGAGTCTATGTTTTTTTTATTGTGTCGACTCTTTTATGCATATGGGCTAATAATTTTTTAATTGGCAAATGTATATCGGAGTTAGAAATTTGAATGTTCTTTACAACTTTTTACAATGTGTCGACTCTTTTATGCATATGGGCTAATAATTTTTTAATTGACAAATGTACATCGGAGTAAGAAATTTGAATCTTCTTTACAACTTTTTACAGGAAAACACGAGGAATGGGAGCTGCCCGCAAGCTGAAGTCCCACCGTAGAAGACAAAGGTGGGCTGATAAGTCATACAAGAAGTCTCATCTTGGCAATGAATGGAAGAAGCCTTTCGCAGGTTCATCCCATGCGAAGGGAATTGTCCTCGAAAAGATGTAAGATTATTTTAATTTGTTTTAAATATATATCATTCAGCATACAGCTTCTTTAACTGTATCATCTAATACTAAGATTATGGTATGGTACTCTATTCGCAGAGGTATTGAGGCTAAGCAGCCCAACTCTGCCATTCGTAAATGTGCAAGGGTTCAACTCATAAAAAATGGGAAGAAGATTGCTGCTTTTGTGCCAAACGATGGTTGTTTAAACTACATTGAAGAAAATGTAATTGATTAGTCGATTTTATTATTTGCATTATTTTGCTGTTTTGGTTGTTCTAACTTGCCCATAATATGTATGTTATTTATATAATACGGGTTTTTCTTGATGGGTGTAGGATGAAGTTTTGATCGCTGGATTTGGACGAAAAGGTCACGCCGTGGGTGATATTCCTGGTGTTAGATTTAAGGTTGTAAAGGTTTCTGGAGTGTCTCTCCTGGCTCTTTTTAAGGAGAAGAAGGAGAAGCCAAGGTCATAATCGTGTGGAACGTGTCCTCTTTATTTATCAACTATTATTATGAATTTTGTTTCTTTTATTATTCTATGGACAATTTTGTATCTCTAATAGCAAATTTTTCTCATTTTAATTTGGTCCATATTTCACACCACCTCGATATTGCATTTATTTTAAGATTTTATTTATTTTAGCTACTTATATTAAAGCATTTTTTTTGTATTTGAAATTATTATAATTACTTAATTGTTTACAATAACGTTAAACTATATTTAACTCATCTTATTTCTTAAATGATTTATATCTTTATTTTAAAATACATTCACCATAAATAATGAAATATTCGAACCTCTAGTTTGTATATGTATTAACAAATATTTAAATAAGTTAATATTTTAATTATGTATTTTATAATTATATCTAACTGTTTTCTTTATATTGAAAATAACAATCCCAAAACTAAACATACATTATAAAATTGTAATACAAAAGAAGTAATTTAAAATATAAATTCTTTCTATATATAAATATGTAAATCAATTTAAAAGTAAAACTCATGATAATAATTCAATTTAAGAATCTAATATTTAAATTTGAGATAAAATAATATAGTTTAATTTTAACTTTTCATATATAATATTATTTCTCAATATTAAAATAAACATTTGACATCTACAAGACCTCATGAAATAGATGTCAGAAAGAAATTTCTCTCACACCACAAGAAATAGATACCAGAATTTGAAAATAAACATTTACCATACTACAAGACCACAAGAAATAGATGTCAGAAAGAAATTTCTCTCACACCACAAGAAATAGATACCAGAAATTGAAAATAAACATTTGAGATATGCGCCTATAATCCCATAAAAATATAGACATTGAAGGTTTTTGTCAAACTACAAGATATAGACATTAAAGATCTTTTTCATAAAGGTTAAATCATTAGAAATTTTGTTAACTTTCACAATCTTCCATGTGATTCTTCTTAAATCACAACTCAATATTTATATATATAATACTATATTTGAATATTAAATTAATATCTATATAAATACAATATTATACATATTAGAATACTTATATTACAAACCTCCTTCAATTCTCAGATCAATTTTATACATACAACATTACATAGATAAGAATACCCTTTGGTAATTTTCATATCAAAACACATATTTCAAAATACATAATAACATTCAACTCATCTCATTTTATGTTCATATTTTAATAATTTAAGATACAAATACATTATTTCTAACATCATAACAAAATATATTTTTTTATAATTTGACCTCTACTCATTTTTTTTATCATAATAGTTTATGTAGACATCCTTTTTAATTATTTAATTTATTTATTTGGATTCCTTATGTTTGGGGTTTCGATTTGCATACATGGAACATTAAATTTGGAGTTCGGAATATTTTGTATGATTTTTAAAATATTGCTTGAGCAAGTATAAAAGTGTTGAACGAATTTCAAATTCGTTGAGCGAAATTTGATAGAATGGAACCTCCAACATTGTCGAAAATTCGCCTAGAGCGAATTTGATAGTTCGAACGAATTTCAAATGATTTCAACACTGTTTTAAACTTGTTGAGCAAATTTATATTTGTTGGACAGATTCGTGATAGTAACAGATTACAAAATATGCTCAAAACCTTGTTTCTAAAATTTCAAATCAAATTAATTCTAAATCTTACCATCAATATCATAAATTCATTCACTAATTTCAATATAAGAGTAATACATTCATAAAAAAAATTATATTTTTCAATCTCATGTAAATAAATTATATATTCACATTCAATAAAATCATCATCAATTAACGCATAATTAATCACACTGTCCAAATTTTTGAAACTTAAATAATGTTACCAAATCACCTTCACAATCTAGATCTTTATAGTCTAGAATACTATAAAAATGGAAGAATAAATAACTTCCTTACTTTAATATAGTGTCTCCAAGTTAAAGAATCTCCAAAACTCCTAAATTTCTAAGAAGATAGATTATGCTAAAAAAAAACTAAAATTAACAAATTGAGTAAAAACTTGTCAAGATCTATCTCGTCACAATAAAGTCTATATGCAAGCGCGCTAAGACAAACATGCATATATAAACCTAAAATATGCAAAATGATCTAAAATTAAGAAATGAAAAACTTACTTTATTCAAAATTCTAATTGGGTGGAATTAATCTTCTTTTCTTCATGAGCACTAAGGGGCGTTGGATTTTGAAAAAGATAAGAGATAGTGCAGGAGATTTAAAGAGAAAGTAGAGAAAATAAATATGATAATTTTATGAGAATGATCTTTTAATTAAACTTTTCTATTTATAATTCTTTTTAACTTAAATAGTAAAACTTCAAAGTTCTCTTATTATATCACTTATATTTTTAACTCACTTAAATTGAATCCTCACTTGTATATATAGTATGCTGGTATATTTTTTTATATTTTTTTGACTTTTCATATTCTAAAATTTTAATTCATAATCTTTATGAATTATTTGTTAAGTTTTTTGTCCATTTGTTGTTTTTAAATATATGAATAACATTTGAAATGAAATAATCTAACATATAAACAAGTTTAATTATAATTTGACAAAAAAAAATTATCTTTCTAATTTTTTCATATATACCCTTTTTGATAAACGTGTTAAAACATTTTATACAACTTATAAAGTGAGATATTTTCGTTATACAAAAAATCACATTCAATTAAATTATTGTTTCAGTTCTCTTACACCATAATTAGACACCATTATAGTTTAAATAAGTTCTCAGCGCCTTCATCTCCAATTAAATAATCTGGAAAATAATTGTATTCTTATGTAAGTGTTCAAACTCATTAATTCTCAATTCATAAATTTAATTTCAGATTCTTAAAAATGTATAATACATTTTATTTATTGACTGAAATTGGTAAACTGTACATTTTTTCACATATTTACCATTTTACCAATGATCAAATCTAATTGTTTGAAAAAGATGTTCTCTTTTATTGTTTTAATTTTCTTTTTTCTGAATTATATTTGCTGAAAATGACAAAATAAGTAAATTAGGACGATTTAACATTTTCATTTGTTAAAATAAATATAAAATATATTATAAATTAAATCATAAAAAAATTATGAATATTTCACTTTTTCATTATAATAGGGTAATTTAATATATTAAAAAAAATTCAATTTATTCATTTAAAAATATTAATTACCAAATAAAAACTTAAAATATATAAAGTGGAGGGTCAGTCCACTCACGAAAGTCCTAATGTTGATCAATGTTTTTACCATGTGTGCAACGTTAAGATGTAATGAGGTTGCGAATATAAGTATATCTTTATTAAAATCATGATGAATTTTAATGTAAAAAATAGATAAATTTCAAGGTACTACTATTTTGCGAACTTAATTTGGTACATGTATTATTTTATTTGATATGCTTGTTTACCTAATCGATGTTCGGTTGGCTGAGCCTATGCACAATAATAGCTGAGATTTATTGAATAAGACATTTAAAGGAACTAACAAATTTTGAGGCACTTACTTTTGAATAGGAATACGCGGCACCTCGAGGTTCTCTTCGTTGAAAATATTGAATTGATGACGAATACATTTCATGGGTAAGAAATACAGAAGAACCATCAAGTTGGAGTAAAACATAACAAGTACTTCAAAAATGATTAAAGACTTTCCATTCATGATTTGGACAAAGATCAAGACTTCTGCAGTCGCACTTTTATCACAAAGCAAAATATATGGTTCAACTTTCACAATGCCACTGGCTTAGTTGTTTTCCTTCATACTAATGCTATCGGGCATTGGCAAGTTGGTCGTCGATTTTGTTTCTGAAACTGCTGATTCTGTTAAGACAACGCCATCCATGTTGCAAAAGGAATTCTTGACTGCAAAGGGTCTCCTTGCTGAAGCTGCCACACCAAAGTTTGGGGAGACACAGAGAAATGTAGTGGATGAACTCGTCAATAAGTCCTCTTCCTTAGGACAATCAATAATCCTTTCGTGATTAGATAACTTCAGACAATTGGATTTATCTGGGGAGCTGATATCAGTCTGCAATAAAGAAAGGCAATTAATGTTAAACTTATCCTGTGTCTCAAAATTTATGTCCATATGTCCAACTTGTTTGCTCAAACTATCAACATGATCATCGTGATGAACATTTGCCTGGTTATTGACACCTTTAATTGGTAGCAGATCATGATGGGCTTTCTCCACTACATGGATGAGTGATGTATTTTCATCAGCACCCATGGGCATGTCGGAAGAGCTTTTATTCTGCACATTGTTATATGTCTTAATTGCAACATCTGATGATTCATGAAAAGGATTTGGATGTGGAGCTTGCTGGTTATTGGGTTTTGTATTTTCAATTGACACGATGGATTTAGAAGCTTGAAGGTTTCCAAGTTCTGTTTTGCTCTGGCCCTCATTTGGACTTGCAACTCCCTGTTTTGCCAAGCTACCAGGTACAACAGAGCGTGGTGGCATTCCCCCACGTGGAGTGCGCACTAAGGGCTTCACCTGCACAACATTATGACACCAATTCAACAAATGCAGAGTAATAGAGAGATGGCAAAAAAATATCATAAAATAGTGTGGGACCAAAGTCATAATGATATGAGATATGGAAACATTGCAAAGAAAACGGTACGAACCACTAACCAACACGGATTCTGACTACATAAAATACGGAAAAAGCAAAACTCACCCCATCAAAGAAACCAATCTTTGGTGAAGGCAGACGAAGGCCTGAAGGTTTCTTGGGAGCTGGAGGAAGGACCGTCACTCCAGGAGCTGTCCCTTGCTTTTGACTAATAGACCACCCATCATGCTGATCTTCTTGCCTTTCTAAGGTTGAATCATTCTGAGGAGTGTGAGAATGTGTACCTTGATCTGCATCAGCGTCCAATAAAACCTTTCTGCTTGAGCCACTATCAATGCTGGACCTTGAACCATTACAGACACGTTTAGCCATAGAAATTGTTGAGGATGACTCTGACGAAGACCAATCACTGATAGAACTGGCAGGTGAAATACTAGAAGAAAGCTTTGTGGCAGACATCAAGCTTGAAAGACTAGAAATCTCAGGTTCAGCTTTATTTCTTGGAGATATTCTTGAAGGTGTTCTGACAGCTGGGTAAGATGAGGTTGGCTTATAACTTCTTTTTAAGTAATTAAAAGAAGATTTACCAATATTGTCAGACAAATTGTTACCGGAAGATGTGGAAGTCACTGATTTAGTCCTGGTTGATACTGTCAGTCCAGAAGCTGATTTCGATGGTAGTGTGGGTTTAGGCACAATACCCCGAGAACCTCCAATAACAGATGTTTTTGTCACTGAACTAACTCTATCTGAGGGCAAATGATAATAAAAGTCAACTACAATTCAGAAAATGGCAACCAATATGCCAAAATGAGAAGTAGAAAAAAAATGCTAAAGCAGGTTCTAACCACCAACTATTCGTTTTGCCTTGTCCCTTCCACCTTTGACATGGAGATTGCCAAGGGATTCTCTCTTCGAAGAAATTGTGGAACTTACACCAGACTTCGCTAGAACCTTTGATTGCCTTAAAATAGACGACTCTCTCCTTGTAGCAGCAGGCTTCAAAATAAGAAAAATAGTCAGGTATATAGCCACTCAAAATTTCATTGGACAAGCCTGAGTGACATTAGCAAGCATAATTAGAAAAGCCACTAGTTCTCTTCAGTGGTTTTATTTAGTTGCATACCTGTGGAAGTTGTGGAAAAATAGGATTATTCTTTTTCATCGTGTTCCCAAATCTTTGCATGCCAGAACTTAGATTCTTAGAAGCAGGAGGGGCCTTCATCTAAAATATTAATACGAAGTTAACTTAGATTTTTTTAGTTTACAATATGGGGTTATGGAAGGCAATTATAATAAACTATTTCAGGCAGGAAATATTGTTCCCTATTCAACACAATTTACTATGGTTTGGTGTTTAAAACCACGGACATTACAAACAAATTAACATTACAAAAAACTTTTTAGTCTCTATTACAAACGCAATTTACCTTGTTTCGAGGAACCACACCAACCTTTTTTGAAGCTGAAACAAATGCCACAAATCAATAATTTGACCAATTGAGTATAAACCAACAGTACACAAAATATAATATGAGTAGAATAGTTTAGTTCTAAAAACATCAAAAGTTCAGAATGCAGATAGGCAAGATAAAAAGGGAATTTGAAATGTTCATCCAATCATTCAATGCTTCTCAAACCAATTTTTTAGTTACAACTATACCTAACATACAAATTCTTAATTGTGTAAACTAGTTAATAAAAAAATCACACATTATGGATGCCGCTCACAATTCACACAGATTGTAAGGATCTATGCAGAATAGAGAATTAAGAGAGTGCAGACGGAGTCATACAGTCATGACTTTGGAACCCTGGAACCGCAGGGGATGATGGTACTTTGGTGTTTGCACCTGCAGGGCTGGACTTTCGGCTAGATTTCTGAATTGAAGCTCTTACATCTTCAAACAAATCACCCTCGACCTCCGCACTCTCAAAAGTCAAGCTATCACTCGCTAAGGTAGATATGGACTCACACGATTTGTACACATCCTCTTGAATATCCGGTAATTCATGCATCTCATCCTTCTCAACACCTTCAATTATACTAGACAACTCCTCAGGATCCAAAACCCCTGCAAAACACTCATCAATCAAACACATAACTACTCAACATCCAAGAAAATAACATAAGTAAATAAAATAAATAAAATACCGGCGCTGGTGAAAAAGGCACTATCCCAGGCCAAACTCTTGCGCAAATTGCATTTGCCATTTTTCTTAGGTTTTCCGTTTCCGGATGAGTCGTTGGAGTGAGGCTCATGCTCCCACTGCTGAAGTTTGGTGGCGGCGTCTTCGAAGTTCTTCGAGTTCGGAGTGCACAGCAAATCCGCGTGCGCTTGGGTTTCTGAAACGGAAGATATGAACGCATTTCATTTGATCTCGAATGGCGATGCATAAAACGGCAAATAATTCAGTAGAATCGGTCTCGTTTAGACTAAAATGAGAAAAAAAAAAACCTGAATGGTGGTGGTTGAGAGGATTTCCATCGAGAAGCGAATCGTCGGCGGAAGAAACGTCGATGATGCTGAGGCGTCGGTCTTGGACGTTCCTCTTTCTCAGGGAACTCGCCGGTTCAGAAATCATAGATCCCTAATCGAAGAAATTGAGAGTGGCGAAGAAAGAAGAGGGAGAGGAAAAGGTTTTTGGTTTCGGAAATTTTGAACTTTGGAGAAGCGGCTAACGGGACTCCACTTCAATTCAACACTTGCAACCGAACAGTGAAAAAAATAGTAGGGATTTTGTTAGTTTGAAAATATTAAATTAAATAAACAAATAAAAGTGTGAGAGTGTAAAACGACGACGTGTTTCTATAGAAAAAAAAATAACGGCGATGTGCGTGTGCGACAGTCATTGGACAGCTATAAACTGGGAGCGTCTTCTACGTCATCCCACGCGCGTTTTAACCATGTTTTTTGTCATTTCAGGATTTTATTTAGTTTTAAATAATTTTTTGTATTACAAAATTCATAATTTTATTTTCCCTATAATTTAAAACTTTTTTATTTTATTTTAAAAAGTTCACCATCTTCAATCCTTTATGCTGCAGCAGTTATTGTCTTCTACCCACCACAAATATGATACTCAATCCCACTGTCATGTCCAAAATAATTAATAACTATTAGTAATAAAACTGAAAATTAAACACAGCTAGGGATAATTAAAAATTTTAAATAAAAATTGTGAAAAAATTATGAATAATTAAAAATTAAGAGAGTAAAATTGCAGGGAAATAAATAAGGGTAAGAAATTCCAGATTTTATAAAATATAAGAACCAAATTATAATTAAACCATGACTTTTTATCATTTAATTAAAAAAATTCAACTTGAATTTCGATTGAGAATTTTACAATTTGAAGAAAATAAAATGTATTAAATTGAATTTTTTAAAATTGAAATATTTCATTTTTGAAATGTTATGTTTTTATAAAGAAATTCAAATTTGTTTACTTTTATTTTATTTTTTAGATAAAATATTTTAATTACCTCCAAATATTAATTTTATTCAAATATTTAGTAATATTTAATGATTAAAAATATCATAGATGGTGTTTTTTCAATTAAGATTGGTGAAAATTATTTTTCATTAATAAAATCGAGTTTATTTCTGACAAATAACGATTATAATTATTTTGAATCACATTATTTTATGAGTTTTTTCCGTCATTTAATTTTTTTTTTTTGCAACAAAACCACATTATTTTTTATTTTTAAACATTTGATTGTTTTGTAAGAAAAAAATTCTCTCGAAATTCGTGTATGTGCATCAAATTAATCTCGAAGGAGGTTAATGTAGACCCCGTACAAGGCCCAACTTTATTGGTATTAAAAGCCCAGAACATTCTGGTTTGTTGTGGGCTTTTGGCACCACAATTATTCATATGTTTCAATTTTCCCGCCAACAAAAAGAAACTTCCTTGCCAAAAGCTTGGGAAGAAAAAAAGGAGCGAGTACGAACACAGTCGGAAACGGAATGCACGGAACAGCAGCAGAAGATGCGGTGCAGAAGATCGGATACGTATCCATGGACCCGTTCGGGTTAATGGATATACTCGACACTTACTTTCCTCAACAACTCTTCACCGTCGAAGAAACCTGGCTCAGTCTCACTTCCGCTCTTCTTTCCTTCTTCTCTTCACCGGCAGGACAACATCTTGTTTCTCAGGTTTGCAATCTCTCTTCCCTCTTCAACTCCCCAATTTCTTCTCCTCCATGTTATTTTTGCGATATATTTGTTCAATCCATTCCCTGAGGCACTAACAAATTTTAATTTTAAAATAACAGACCTGGATTAGTTTTCTGATTTGTATGTGCTACCTTGCATTGTCTAACCGCAGCATTTGCTGCCATAACGGGCTATGAATGTTTAACGAACATCAGAAGAAAATTCTACTTATAAGGATGAGTCAAACAGCGTAAATTTTTTCATTGTTAAATCAGTGTTCGATAACTTTAGTTTGTGAAAACACGGGAAGGAGAAAAACTAAAATCATTACTCTTTTTCATTTTAAAGCATTCATAGCTCTTACTGTGGGATACAGTGATATATTTGCCTGTCTGTTATCCTTTTTGGGCTATGCCAACAGGTGAAAACTGGTTATGGAAACAATATCTTGTCACTTGACTTTCAGCAGTTCCAACAGATTTATCATGTTGAGGAATTTTATAAAATGTTAGAGGAGAAACCTAAAATTGCTCTCTTATGCATGAGTGCTGCTGTACATAAGGTATGCTTGAAGTCACTTCTGTTGTTGCACAAACAAGTGTCTCTCTGGTGCTGGCCATGGTGTTATATTATTGAAATAATGAATTGGAAACAGGTTTTGCTATCCAAATGGGAGAATGACGACCTGGTGCTTGGTGCAAAGGTAGATATCCGTCTTCATAACTGTCCTAAAACTATGATTGCGCTGAAGAACTTAAAAGCAGCTTACATTGGTATATCTTAAAATCATTGTAGTCATTTTTACAATTTAATTTATTTATTTTTCGCACTTGTTTGCCATGTTTGAAGCTTTGAGATTGTTTAGGAAAAGTACTCATTTTGATATTTTTATAATCTTTTGGTGATTTTACAGACAAACTGGTCTCAGTTCGCGGTACTGCTGTGAAAGTCAGCACTGTCAGGCCTCTGGTTTTGCAAATGAGTTTTGAATGCTGTAAATGTAGACAAACACTTTCACGTATATTTCCTGATGGAAAATATTCTCCACCATCAACTTGCAATTTGAATGGTTGCAAGAGCAAAATCTTTAATCCGTTGCGATCTACTGCTCAAACTATTGATTTTCAAAAAATAAGGTGAGTTTGGTGTTTGACTCATTATCTCTATTATTTCACATACATTTGGCATCCTTTCCCCCCTGTCATTGTTAGAGATTCGTTCCTTTAAAACCCTATTTTCAAATGCGAATGCTGCGCTAGAGTTCAAGAATTATTAAAACCTGAAGACCATGAAGAAGGACGGGTGCCTCGAACAGTTGAATGTGAGCTTACCCAAGATCTTGTTGATGCATGCATACCTGGAGATGTGGTTACTGTTACTGGAATTATAAGAGTAATTAACACATACATGGATATTGGAGGAGGTATGCCTAAGCCTAAGCCTGCATTTTTTAATTATCCACCATTTACGGTTTCCTATTTTAACACTTGGTTAGATGCTGAAGGGAAAGCAAATCTATGTTTGTGAGCAAAGATAACTAAACTCTGAAAATTTTTACTTGAATATCTGTTTACGTTTAATATGTATTTTTTAAAATTTATGAGTTCAATGTTAACTGATATTCAAATTTGTTATATACAAAATCATGAATATAACTGTAATGTTTGATCAATAAACGACCTGGAAATCTGTCGATGATAATAGAATACTTCCGTCAAAGATGAAGCCTGAAACGCCAGTAATCACACTGTCTTAGCATCATATCTGTATATTCTTCCATAGAACATGAGTTCCCTCTTTCACTTTGATGTTGGGTCACCCCATTTTTTACGTAATTCTTAAAGGCTACCCAACTGCTTTTTATGTTGCCAAAACCTGATGCATGAGAAGTATTCTAAATATTTATACCTTCAAAGCTTACAAATTTAGATTCCAAAGAAATTATTAATATTATTAGCAATTACTATGCGAACTTACGTGACATCCACTATTTCATGACAACCATAATAAAGTAAACTGATAGATGCTGTGGGAGAAATTCTTATATAGTTATTTAAATAAAATCATATTGTATCTGTTATTTTGGTTAAATTTACTTTAATATTCTGGTGCAGTTGATGCAGGAGTCAGAAAAGATATGGCATTTGTCGCTATTTTCAGTATTTTGTCTGGCTAAAGATTATCTCTATAGCTGAATTACTGTACATAAAAAAATTCATTCATTCTCAGGCTATTTCGCTTATCCTATGCCACTTGTTGGTATTTATGCAGGGAGGTCAAAGAACAGAAACCAAGGATTTTACTATCTGTATCTTGAAGCTGTATCCATAAAAAATTCGAAGTCGCAGTCCATGCCTGAAGATCTGCAAGATTCTAATCCCAAAGCTAGGCCAACTGAGCTGTTTGATTTGTTTTCATTTTCTTCAAAGGATTTAGAATTTGTTGTGAAGTTTGCACAGGAACATGGTTCAGATATATTTCGGCAAATCCTTCAATCTATATGCCCATCTATCTATGGACATGAGCTTGTTAAAGGTAAATATCTTACTTCTATACCAGTGATAAAAGAGATACTTTTTTTTTCATGTGAGAATTGACATTTTTGTCTTCTAACTTATTATGAAAATCATCCCTCAAGAACAAGTTATTATTACTAATGATTATTACTAATAACTTCTTGTTAACAATTAACAAGTGTATCAAATCATGCAAATAGTAAAATAAATGTCAAATATTGTTTTCTCAAGAGATTTGCACTTAATCATCAAATTAAGAAAGGTGAATAAATTTTTTAGAACTTGTAATTGATGAATAGAAGTATCATTGGGGTGGAATTTCATGAACTCATTGCAATGTATAGCTTTTCATTTTAATAGACTTTTTATACTATTTCAACATTCACATAGTAAATTTATTTCTATTCTAATTCCTTAGAGCTCTAAACATATGGTGTAAAACTATCTATTACAAATGTTTGCTTTAAGATCAGGTGTTATAAAATGATCAAGAGATAACATATCATGTCTAATATGGGACTCAGGGTTGATCAATCTTAAGACCAATGTTCTTCAAATCATTTACCATTGCAGAGAAACAGTCAAAAGCACAGAATATCAAACCATGTAACTTGAAATAAATAGTAATCCGTTGTTGTGATCCTAACTTTTTTAACAAAAATTAAATAAAGTACGTTAATATCACACTTATCACTTCTCCGAGACAATTATTTGCATTCCTTCACAGTGTTTTATTTTTAACAAAAAACTCAACCAGATATATGAATACATCTAGTTAATAAAAAACATAGATTGATAGGCACGGGATGCCTGTTTTCTAAATAGTGTAACATAATGATAATATGAGATGTAACTTGGTGCTGGTGGTGGCCATCGGTTCTAATCCTGGAAACAAGCTCTCCATTCAGCATAAAATTGTTGTATGCATTTGACTTCCCCCAGACATTTACATGGCACAAGTCTCATGCGTGGGTCCATCCTTCTGGTTGCTTGTTTAATGACATGTTTCTTATGTTTTCTGTAATTGTTAGTATAACCTTGTTGATTTTTCCCATTCACAAGGTCACAATCTAACTAGCCCAACATATTTTTATTTTCTTTTATCTTATGATATGAATCCATTGGTTGGCATTTGCTTTGTTAGAAACTGTTTGGTAAGAATGTCACTCTTGCTATTACGGATCCTCCATTTGCATTATATGGGAAAAATGTTTCAAAAGTCGTAATTAAAGCATGAATCTAATTCTAATATTACTTTGTTATTGTTTTGACAGCTGGGATAACTCTGTCATTATTTGGTGGTGTACGGAAGCATGCTATGGATCAGAATAAGGTTCCTGTGAGGGGAGATATTCATGTCATAATTGTTGGTATTGCAAAGAAGTTTTTTTTTGCCAAAAAAATGTTTTCTTCAGTTTGAAGTTGGTATACTGGATGCACGTTAAAAAGTTATGATCATGAAATGACGAACTACAAATATTGCAATTTCGATATTCTAGGTGATCCTGGTCTAGGTAAGAGCCAGTTGCTGCAAGCAGCAGCAGCTGTTTCTCCACGTGGTATCTATGTCTGTGGTAATGCCACAACCAAAGCTGGCCTTACAGTAGCTGTAGTGAAGGACCCTATGACAAGTGACTATGCTTTTGAAGCAGGTATTACGTTCTTTTGTTCCTTTTACTCAATCCAAAGCAGTTATTATGCTTTTGAAGCAGGTATTATCTTCTGTCTCAATGTGTAGTGTGCTATTTCCAGAATTAGTAGGTAACTTTGGTCATGATTGGTGGGAAGGTTTACTTCAAACAATTATGTTTTTCTTAGTTATGTTTTATTGTTTGGTTCTTCAAGTTATTATTCTTTGTTCCATATATTGAAATCTTTGCTTCTGTATGGTAGATGTGAAATTTAAAATTTGTTGCAATTGTCCCGACTCCTGACCCTAATTATCTAGTCATTGATTGGCCAAGCAGTATGGGTTGCTCCTTTCATGGTAGGCTAAATGATGACAATGTTTTGTTTTTTGGCGCTTGTTCTGTTTCCTTAAGCTATGCAGAATTAGGTTAGTTTATCTTTAGCTAGTAAGGTGGAAAGAGGGGGAAAAGATTTCTCTCTTGGGCTATCTATTATTGTTGGGTATCTAACTGTTTTTTGCTACAATCCTTTGAAAAAGATTAGTTTGTATTTTTTGTGAATGATTTTTGGAATTCATGATAGGTGCTATGGTGCTGGCTGACAGTGGATTGTGCTGTATTGATGAGTTTGATAAAATGCCATCGGAGCATCAGGTTTGTTCTCTGGTGACTGGCAATTACTTCCTTGTTTCTGTAAGTATGTTTTAAACCTTACTGTTGAATTGTGATAATACAGGCTTTACTGGAGGCGATGGAGCAACAAAGTGTCTCTATTGCAAAGGCGGGACTAGTAGCAAGTTTATCATCTAGGACTTCTGTCTTGGCTGCTGCAAATCCCGCTGGTGGTCATTATAAGTACCATTTTCTATTTTTGTCTAGTTCTCACAACTTTTCTTTATAGACCACCTCATTTATGCTTAGGATTAGACACACCAATAATCAAGTTTGTAAAATTGAACTAGGGGATGTCAAACATTAAACCGGGTTAGATTCTGATATTATTTAGAAAATTAGGCGTAACTCACTTTTAAAAGCTAGCTCAAGGGTGGACGATTGTCAAGTCATATAAGGAGTATTGAGGTTCTTTAATTTGAATTATAATATACAATCAAAATAATGGCAGTCATGTAAATGCTATCTCTCATTGCAGCCGAGCAAAAACTGTAAATGAAAATTTGAAAATGAGTGCTGCTCTCCTGTCTCGTTTCGATTTAATTTTCATACTGCTCGACAAACCTGATGAACTTATGGATAAGCGACTCTCGGACCACATTATGGCAGTAAGTGAATACTGTCTTTTTTACTTTGTGTAGGTGCTTGCATATGCATAAATACAGGCTATCAATCATATTCATATCCCATTGATTGTTGATGGGAACGTGTGCTTTGTTTCCCATCTTGATGTATTTCGATAAAAGTTTCAGTAATGATTGTGATGGTGGAGTATTATACTGGGTTTGGTAGCAATTGTTGTTAAATGGCTTCCATAGCGCTATGGCGTTGCAGGAATCATGCATTTCAACCCCCTGTCGCGATTCCATCATGAAAACGGTTATTGTGGCGGGCGATGGGTGTCATGGTTTCAATGGGCATCACGATTTTGATGTGACTTTCCTCCCCAGTACCAGTGTTCCACTCCCCCCACTTATGTAGAAACTCTTTAAACTTTTCCTGTACATGTTACTTAAACTACTATTCACGTAAGGAAGGACTCCTCTACTCCATCCGCATCTGTTCATCTCCTCTTGGATCTTACTGTCTATGTTTAATTTCTTTTTAATGTTTTCGTAAGTATTTTGTCATGAAAAATTGAAGTTTGCAGTCAATATTATGTTTATACTGTATGCATTCAGGTTTTTTGTACATATTGATTTATTCCACCTGCTACTTGACTTCTGCTATTTTCCTAGACGTTATTGCAATGTATAATGATATATGTAGTGGATTTTGGCTCTCTGCATAGCACATGATGTTTTCTCCAAACTATAGCTTCTATATGGTTTCTGATAAGAACTAAGAACGAAATGAATAGCTAGATATGTATCATTTAACAGATTATGCAGTAAAAATAGTGATGAGCTGATAGCTCCAAAGCAAACAAAGCAACCCCAGAGTCATAGACTCCTCCAGAGAATAACTCTTCTCCGATCAGACCAACCATTCCCCCTCTCTCATAGACCAGAATCCCACATAATAGGGATTTCTTACACGTCATCCCCATTTCCTAACTAACTTCTCACTCCTTCCCCGGTTGACCCCACTTTCTTTCTCCTGGTATAAACTTTCCATATTCTGGGCCTAGCTACCCCGTCTATAATTGTTCCTCAGTTGTTTCTTGTTGAGTAACAGGCCCATGCTCCCTTCTCACCGTATGACCCTTATTTGGAGTCCTATCAGTTTCTGCTCATGTCAAGGATATGAATTATCAACTGACTTTCGTTTCTCCATAATTATTCTAGGTTTAACCACCCTCGCATGAATTCTTGATCTAGAACCTACTCTTGCCAAAATAGGAATTACACTATTAAATAGGTTTGAACTTCCGATGTATCAGAGACATGACAAGACTTACATAAGAACCAATAGAAAAACGCGTGAAGAGTGAGAGCAATCTTGGAAAATAAACATTATTTGCCTCGCCTTGGATTTCTGCAAGCTAGATCTGAGTGTTCTTGCTGTAGGACAATCTATCCTCTCACAGTATACATGTTTTCACTTTTCTGCCAATTATTATTCTGCAGTCAATATTATTATTGTTTTATTATTTTTCATTTGATCCTGTGTTTGCATATTGTTCTTTTGGTTCTAAAGGTTAATGTTTAAAATGTATCTTGCAGCTTCATGGTGGGAATGGGCAACTTTCACCGGCCCTAAAAAAGCGACGTGGAGGTTATTTTACCACTCTATTCGGCATTAGTTTTTAACATGCTAGAGCATTCTACATTTTGGTAAATCCAGATTACTAACGGTAAATATTCTTATTAATCAGATCCATCTGATCCCAGGGCTACTGTATCACAGAATGCGGAAGGTGTAGTAGATCTGGGCATTAGACCTGGATCTTTAATTTCAAGGTTGAGACTTGACCCACTGAGAGACTGTCATTTTGTTCCATTACCCGGTCAACTTCTTCGCAAATACATTGCTTATGCAAGGAGTTTTGTCTTTCCTAGGTGATTTGATGTCTTATGTTTCTTATGATTCTGGTCTAAGAATTCCCATGATTAGGAGTTTGTTAATAGATTAATCAGGAGAGTTATTAGTTTGTTGCCTGTATAAAGGCTCTCTATATTCCTTTTGCATTTACCTCTTTCATTAATCAATACTCATTTTATTTTCAGTTTATCATTTTTTTTTTCTTTCTCATCAAGAACCATTAATATTAACACCCTGGTCTAACAATTTATTTTCTGCCTCCTCTTTTTTATTTACTATTAGGATGACAAAGCCAGCAGCAGAAATCTTGCAAAAGTTTTACCTGAAACTGAGGGATCATAGTACTTCAGCTGACGGTACTCCTATCACAGCTAGGCAGCTGGAAAGTCTTGTAAGGCTAGCTGAAGCTCGGGCTCGGCTGGACTTGAGAGTAGAAATAACGGCCCAGGATGCAACGGTTAGTTTTTATATGTACATGGTATTTCTTTTTGCATTCCTTTTTTCTAACTACACATCCCTCACGTTTTGAAAAATACCCCTTGCATGTGGTTGAATTCAAGATTTCAGAATTTACTTTACAGATGAGTAAAATTTTAACATTTTCATAATTTAATTTCCAGAATTACATAAATATGCTTCAGAATAGTTTTTACATACTCCCAGAAATTAAATTCTGGAAGCATTAAAATTTTACACCTGAAAATAAATCCTGGAAGTGGTCACATTTTGTTTTTACATATTCTGTATTTTATCCATGCATCAGAACATACATCACACCACTATAGAGTATAACCAGATGTATAGAAAAATGATAAACTTACCTTTTTAACTTGGTAGGTATTTGTGATCATAAACCATTCTCGCTTCTCCATTTAGCAATCTATCTTGCATTCTACGCGTGACATTTAAAATTTAGAAACTTGTGAATCCAATCATATTGCCAAGCCACATTCCTTTTGCTAAAATTGTAAAGCATATACCTTTTTTTTTTTGAGCGAAAATTCCTTGTCATGAAAGTATGTCTCCAAAATTCAAGTATGTCTTCACTTACATGATCTTCCTTTTTCAAAATATTTCACAATAATTCTCTTGATACTTTCATAAAAAATATTAGAATAAAAATTGACAAAATAGAGGGGAAAGGTGTGCTTAGAAAGTATTACCCTAATGTAGACAGCACTAGTCCTGTTTTGGCCTGTCTATTTTAATAAAGTGAAATGCAAGTCTGAAGAAAATTTCCGTTTTAACACAACTTAGAGAGTTGTGATGGGGATGAGAATGTTACTTTAGATGCGAGGGTACAGGTAGTGTTAGGAATAAATACACAATAAAGTTGGAGTAAAACCTATAAAAAAATTTAGTATTTTATGATTTGGGCATACTTAGAGACAAGGTCTATACAAATCTTGAGAGTTGATTGGATAGATATTAACCTTGTCATTAGATTTAGAGAGATGGAACAAAACTATTGGTAAAACCTTTAATTAAAGAAGGATTTAGAGGGATGGAATGTTCACAATAGATACGGTATTGTTACAATTGGTGGGAAAAGACTTGCTTGTTTCTTATCATGAATTTCTCGTCTTGATTTCTTCTAACGAAAATTGTGGTTGCAGGATGTTGTTGAAATCATGAAAGAGTCCCTGTATGATAAATATGTTGATGAGCACGGTATCGTGGATTTTGGTCGAAGTGGTGGTATGAGTCAACAGAAAGAGGCAAAACGCTTTCTAAATGCACTAAACAAGCAATCGGAATATGAACAGAAGGATTGCTTTTCAGTGTCTGTATGTTTTATTTTTCACCCTGCTGCATTTGTTGTGGATAGTTTTTGCCCTTAGTAAAAGACCCATTTGTTACTTTTCAGGAAATATACAGTTTGGCAGATAGGATTTCCTTGAAAGTACCTGATATTGACACTTTCATCGAAAATCTAAACAGTGTTGGTTATCTACTCAAAAAAGGACCAAAGATGTACCAGGTACCGTATGGTGACATTTTCATTCTCCGGTTTGTTGTGGTTTCTTTGGCTACAATCGCATACATCATTTATAGTTATTTGATGTTTTACTCGTTGTTAGTATGCGTCTTTCTTTCTGTTTATTGTGTGCCATGAGCCTACTACCTTGACACCAAGAATCTTTTACAAAAATCCTTCACATTAAGTGGCTGGTGGAGCATATTTTCGGATTTTTGCTTTTTTTAATGTAAAATTTTAGAAAGTAGAATATAGAATTATATTAGTTAAAAAATAAGAAAATAAATTTTAACCTCATTATACTACAATTTATAACAATCTTAAATTACCAGTCAATGATTTAAAGTTGGTAGTTATCTCCTTTTGAATAGCCACATCCAAAAATTTTCGTGACCAACGCATCCTTTCTTTACTTTTTGCAGGTATTATCCTCTTCTTATGCGCGAAGCCAACCGTTTACGACAAGGGGTTAAACTGAATGAGCCATCTACATTTTCTCCTTACACTGAAGTTCTTCTGTTCTAAATTTAATAATATTTGTTAATATGTCATGGCATGCACGGGAATATGGTAACTAATCTCCCGTAGTGTAATTCTGTTCTGACGTAAGTTTATGGTAGAAAGTGCAAGAGCGTCCAGGCGAGACAAGAAATACAAAAACAGAACACCGTTAGTGCAGAAGCCGAATCATTTACTCCAATTTCTTCTGTCAGTGTAAATTGCTAATATATATATATATATATTTGGAAGCATCGAACTTAGGGATTTCATGAAAAAATATATATATATATATATATATATATATATATATATATATATATATATATATATATATATATATATTCTTACAGTAATTATAAAGAAAAAAATAATTTTTATTCTTTCAGTCAAACGTGATTTAGGTTAAGTAAAATTAATGTTGACTATTTAAGATAATTAAAAATATATATGTCGAACTTAAGGAATTGAAAGAGTTCTTAATTTTGAGGACTAAAATATATTTATAATTTGGAGAATAAAAACAAGATTTCCCCTAAATTTTAAGATCTAAATATAATTAAGTCATCGTATTGTTGTGTCAGTTGCTACAACTGGATTATTAGGTGACATTGTGCAAATAAAATCACATTAGTTAAATACTTAATAAAAGTGTTTATTCCTTATGTCGGATATTTTCTATTGTAAAGAAAAATTCCTTAGTCGCACTTCATATATATCTCCAAATGCTCACATGTGATTTCCCAAGTCTCAATGCCTTTTGTAGTCATCATCAGTATTAAAAATAAAATACACGACGAAATGAACAAACATGAAAGAAGAAGCTCGAGCCTTCTTCATACATTATTGTACAAAGAAATAAGGAAATAATATTCCGATTTATGCTTACAATCAGTCCTAAAAACTCCATCTTTGCCAAACTGCCTGACGGATTCAGACAACAGGCTCTTGGATTTACAATATAATACCTTCGAATGATAATTCGACTCCAAAGATAATATACAAACCTTAATTTTGAATAGAAAAAAGAAAATATCTGGACACAAGAACCAACATCTCCTATGTCAGTATTCACATAACATTAAAAGACATTCAACATGTCGTGAGCACTTGCTAACCGGCGTAGATTACATTACAACAGGAGGATTAATAGACTCGACAACTACTCTGGGCCTTGCATTGGAACCATCATATGCTGACCCTGAAAAGATTCAGCATAAGAAAAATAAAAAACAATTAAATATCAACAACAAAAGGATTATTGTCATAGAAGGATTAAAGTGAAACCACTGTTATTAAATAACCAACAACACAGCCATAACACTACGACGTGGTGTTTCTGGGTCCTTTGCCATTTGTCGTCCATTATTTTCCATTGTATAATGATATACATTATTTGTCAATGTATGGCATCATATCATATCCTCCCTCCCACCATTATCCATAATTATATAGGAGACACTTGAGCCCCAAGGTTGTACCACCAATGTGGCATATATAGGGATTGCCAAATTAGGGAAAGTGTGACAATTTATACTTTCATCAAGTTAGTCAACAATGGAAGGGCAAAAAGGGAATGAATAAGGTTGACATAAAATGGTTGAGGTGAATCAATGATGTATAATACTAAAACATGGCATTTGTCATATTTTCTTTTCTGTTGCAAGGTGCTATTCATTCTTTGTCAGTGTATGGCATCATCTTTCATATCTTCCATCACTTAAGCCACAAGGTTGTCCCACCAACGTGGCATCTTTAGGGATTGTTGACTCCCATATAGTGTGATAATTTGTACTTCCATTGAATTGGTCAACGAAAAGACCACAAATAAGAACAATGATACCATAGAAAGGTTGAAGTGAAATCAATGTTGTTAAATAACCATTGGAATTTGATAACACTCTAACATGACTTTTTGGACCCTTCTACCACTTGCCATCATTATTTTTTGTAATATAGTGACATCCACTATTTGTCGTTGTATGGTGCCATCTACCATATCTTCCATCGCCTACCATTATCCTTGATTACACTAAAGGAAATACAATCCACAAGGTTCTCGCACCAATGTGCCATCTTCAGGGACCATTGACCTAGACAACGTGTGATGGTTTGTATTTCCATCAAGTTAGACAGACAGTGACAAACGGGTAATGAAAGGAAATGATGGCGTTCATAGACGGGTCGAAGTATTAAGTAATTGTTAAGGCATTGACATAACACTATAACATGGTGTTTTTGGATCCTTCAACCATTTGCCATCCGATTTTTTTCATTGTATGGTGACATTCACTACTTGTTATTCTATGGTAACATCTACCATACCTTTCTTCATCCACCACAATCCCTAATTACATGAAGGGACAATTAAGCCAGAGTGTTGTCCCACGATATGATATCTTTAGGGGTTGACAACTCATGCAATGTATGATGACTTGTACCTCCATTGAGTTGGCCAACCAGAAAAAAAGGGCAACAAAAAGAAAGTATAATGTTGTCATAGAAGGGTTGATTAAAATCAATGTTTTCAAGTAACCATTATGGCATCGCCAACACTATATAACAAGGCCGTTTTGGACCCTTCCATCATTTTCCATCAATTATGATCCGTTGTATGGTGACATTCACCATTTGTCATTGTACGGAGTCATCTGCCATATCTTACATCACCTGCCATCCTCTATAACTATACTAAAGGACACTTAAGCCACAGGGTTGTCCCACCAATGTCGCACCGTAGGATTGTCAACTCAGGCAAAGTGTGACAATATGTACTTCCATTTAGTTGTCCTGCAATGAAATGGACAAAGGGAAAGGATATGTTGTCATAGAGTTTTTTTGGAACCTTTCCCATTTCTCATAAGTTATTTTCTTTTGTAGGTACCATTCTCTATCTGCCGTTGAACGCCGCCATCTGCCATATTTTCCATCACCTGCGATGGCACAACACCAATTGCAAACTCCCCCTGTTTCCTTTTGAGCCTTACTTTCTTTTTCTCATCTTATTCTTCATTTCTTCAGATGTTTCTCATCACCTTTTCTCTAAAATAATTCTTAGTATAGCTATTCTTGTTCTTCATCCGTTCAATGTTTTATTCTTTGTTTTCTCAAAATTTCAGAATTTAGTTCTTTGTTTTTAGTATTTCAGAATAATGTTGTTCTATGTTTTTTTTTTAATTACACCTAACTAGCCCACAATGTCAAGCACCCAAAATCAATTTCTTTTGAGACTTTTGATATTATCTTGGATTTTGGTTTACAATTCTGTCTTTTCTTAAAAAGAAAATCATTTATGCTATTTTTACTTTTACATATATATGTTATCTTTTTTTGTTTGCCATAGGCAGTCACGTGATCCATTATTGATAACCTTTGATCCCAAGTGGGCAATCCCCAGGACCAACAATTAAAAGACATATCCCAGATGTGAAAATCTATCACATCAGTCACAATGAAAAGATCAGGTAACTTAGTAGCTTAAGAATACTTCATTGAATTTTTTTGTTCAACCAGAATCCACAGCCAGAAATATTTTGAAGTTAAAACCATGATTATTAGCATTTCTTGCTACATTCTTTGCTACCTATCTTAAATACAATAAACTTCATGATCTTTTAACACAACCAAAATAGAATGCCACATGTGTTCCTTAAAATAGCCCAGGGAAGTAGCCCAAAAAACCTAAATATAATACTTCAGTAACAAGTAAAACGAAGTGGAATGATAAAGCTTAAGCTGTCCAAGTAAGCAATTTCATCAATCAAACAAAAGATTAAGATATATATAACTAATAACAAATCTATATTTAATAGCATGGACCAATCCATAAATGGCATACTGATCCAAAAGCATCCTTCACACACACCAAGGCTGATCTGCAGAACAAACTAAATAACATAGGGGTCTGAACTGCTAAGAAACCCCCAGCCAACCACCACCACAGGATCCTCAAAACGTCATTCAATCCTAATGCATTATGCAAACAGACTTTTAAAGAAACCAGGGACCACAACAAATTGGCATTTATTATTGTGTGTACTTTCTACAATCCATTAAGGAGGAAATTTTCCAAAAACTCTCAGTGCCCTCCAAATTGAGAATGACCACCCTTCAAAGAAGGACCACATAATAAATAACCCAAAATCAACCAAAAAGATGCTTAAGAAAGTGGGAGACAGTATCAAGAGATAAAATCATTGAACCTAAATAAAAAATATGCAATTCAAACAACTTTTTATAAGGATATTTAATGGGTGAATTGATTGTGGTACCAACCAAAAGTAGCAGACGCATTGGCAAGTATTATTTGGCACTAATTCTAAGATGGAGTTTTCCAATATGCAGTGCAACTGCGTTTTCTAATATTAAATCAAAATGGTGTTAAGCATTTCGTTGACCATTTTAACTAAAGTAAACTAATAGTATTAAACTGAATCATATGGAAAGTGGCATCGAGTGTTTCTGTCATAAATTCATTATATTTTAAGGGTAACACTCAGTTTGAGAAACACAGACGTCTATAATATATACATCGGTTACAATTCAGAGTTCAAACAACCACCTTAGCACCTTCATTTAACATTCAACTTTGACTGCCCAGAAGTACACAAAGAAAGAAGATAATACATCAAACAAAGAGAGCATAGTTACCTGAGAATTTGTGTAACTAACACCTTGTGAAAAAGAACCTTGATGAGCAAGCTGTAGATTTCACAACAAAAGACACCAATATGAGATGCAAGGGTATTCTATGCATATTTCTGGCAACGCAATCAATCATGATTTGCAGGTACGTGGTTGCATTCTACCTGAGCATTAGGACTCGGTTGAACATCTTTCTTCGCAGAGGTGTCACCACCCTTGGCTGAGCCCTTGGTATCACCCTGAAATACCACATATTGAAAAACCGTAAAATAGAGATGTATACAAAGAGATTCGAACAGAAAAATTACAAAAGCATAATAACTATTCAATCAATGGACGAAAGATTCAAAATTACCTCCATCTGCAACATTCCCAAATCGTCCATGAGACAAAGCCATAATAATAAAAAAAGAATACCAATCAGTAAAAACCCGAAACGAACATTAGGAAAACCACACCACAAAAAAACAAAAAATAAAAACCCGCCGTCTACAAAAGCCTGTTCATAGGGACCAGAAAAACATTTAAAATAGAAAAAAAAAATCAGTAAATTAAAATCACCTCTCTGTATCTTGTGAGATAAATCTTCAAGGGATCGATATAATCCTCGAAACCAAGGGTAGCCATTGCCCAGAGTAAATCATCCCCGTTAATAGTCTTTCTTTTCTCTCTCTGACACTTATCAGAGGCCCTACACAATTCAGCGGATTCAAAATTAAAAACAACGCGATAACAAAAAAAACTAACGGAACCAGAAAAAAAAAAAAAAAAAAGCAAAACACACTAACTCGCTGGTGATGAAGCTGATGAACTCGGAGACGCATTCCTGGACAGTCTCCTTCGCGTCTTTAGCGATTTTTCCGTTGGCAGGGAGCGCCTTCTTCATGATGCGACTTATGTTAGCGATGGGGAGGTACCTGTCCTGCTCGCGAACGTTAGAGCGGGGGCTGTGGTCGCCGCTCTCGTGGCTACCGCCACCTGGACTGGACGGACCGTCGGCCATGGTCGCCGGAACCCTGATTTGAAAGAGGAAGAATCGGTGAAAAACATGGCAAATTTGAAAAAGAAGAAACCCTAATCCGAGAGAAGGGGTTATGAGTTGTTATGTTGTGGAAGGGAATGTTAAGGATACCTGGGATGTATGAATTAGTTTGTATTTGGCGCGAGATCGGTGAGGGAATCGGACGCTGGAGAAGAAAGGAAGTTGGAGACGATTGCGATCTAGATTGAAGCCTATCACAACCGTTCGTTTTTTTTTTTTATTACGCAACCACAGACACTACCCTTACTTGCTTTTCGCTTCTTCATCAACCTTTTTATTTCTCTCTCTTCTCTCTCGGTGGTTTTTTTTTTTTTTTTTATTTCTGTATTCATCACCTCACGCCTTAAGGTACTGAGATAATTTATTTTAGCAACCATGATCAATTGTTATAATATGTGGTTGACTTTAAGACATGGACATAAATTTCAAACTATAAGTAAAAAAAAAATTGTATATGGCAGAAAAAAATTGCTAAACTTATTCAGTCGGGTTCTTCATAAATATCAAATCATTAATTAAAAATATTTATAAAGTAATTTATCTAAATATTCTATTTCTTTCTTTAAAAGTAATCTCCATTGAATAACTAATGAAATAAAGTTAACTATTTAGAACATATAGACTAGTTCTTCATAAATTCTTTTAAAAAAAATAAAAAATGAATTTAACTTTGAGTTAAAATTTTAAAAATAAATAAATGATATAAAAGATATTTTGTATATTCTCGTATTTCTGTTAAATTTCAAACTGTACTAAAAATTCCTCAAAGAGTGATAAGTTAATTAGCAAAAAGTGCAGTTAAGCTTAAAAATGAGTTTTTTTTTTACGTAGAATAAACAAGTTTTAAAATAATAGAGAAAAAGGTGTTTGTGGTGGTGAATGCGGTTGATGTTCTGACAAGGTGCGTGAGCAGACCACGTGTTGGGTCTGTGTAGTGTACCCACAGACCCTCCGCTGCCTTTACTGCTTGTGCAGATCCTTCTTTAATGCTTTGTTAATTACTAGTTAATTATATATATATATATATATATATATATATATATATATATATATATATATATATATATATATTTACATGTGGTATTTATCTTTCAGAAGGAAGTAACTGTTGTTAACACGAAACTCCGAGATAATGACATGTCTCTTATTTAACCATCATGAACCTATATGATTGTGGCATAAAAAGTACACAAATAAAATTGAAGCAAATTTTTACCAAAAAAGCTCTGTAACAAAAGTAATGTTCTATCTCAAGCTTGACTCAATCTTCACAACTACTTAATTAGAATCCTGATATGGAACAAATTTTCAAATTTTTTTTTTTTTTTGAAATTAAGATCCTATAGCTCGACTGCAAGATGTTTTATTTCTCGTGGTGCTTTGGAAACAAATAAATCTAGAACGGCAATTCAATGTATGCATGCCTTCAGAGCTTGCAGAGATAGAACACATCAACTGCAGAATACATAGACTGTTCATTTGGTTGGGAGGGTACAGCAATCATTAACCTACCACATACGAACAATCCCTCTCCACACACAAAGAAGGAATGAGAGAAAACTATAAATTCATAGGAAGAGAATAGAAAAGAAAAATTTGAAAACAATAAGAAGGAGATTGATAAAAATGTTCCTGTATTCCTAAGAGATAATAAATTTAAGGACAAGCTGAATTTGCTTTTATTTACAATAAAGATCTATCTTGCTGTTGGCTGTGCAACTGATTCATCAATTGACAGGTAACTCTCAGTTCCACCTAGATCCATTGAACCCAAGTTCAAGGAAGAGTGAAAAGAATTTTTTGACATATCATCTGAATTCCCTTCTCTTAATGCTTCTGCCTGTCTCTCAATAGATATGGCATCTTGGATCTCCTTTAGAACTTCTGAAATTGATGGTCGCATATGTCCATGAGGCTGAACACACATCAATGCTTTCTCTGCTATTTTCCACATTGATTGTAGGTCATAATCATTATGCAACAAGGGATCAATGATACCTTGTATATCTCCACTCTCAATGTGTAATTTTGCCTGCGAAAATTTATGCAGGCAACTAATTTTAGTTGGCAGTTCATTCCATCATAAATTTGCACATAAATTTTTTGGATGTTAATATAGTGATTTACTTTTTTCAGTGTTGCAGATTAAATACTACACAAATCATTTGACAGAAAAAATAAAACTACAAAGTATGACATTTCTTTATAATCCAAAAATTCTATTTATGCAGATTAATCAAAACTTACCCATTGAACTATGTTTCGGCAATTTACACCAAAGCTTTCATTTGATATTGCTTCTTGACCAGACATGAGTTCAAGGAGAATTACACCAAAACTATAAACATCACTCTTGTCTGTCAGCTGTTGGGAAATATAGTACCTGTCAAGAAAAGGTTAGTCATTCAACCAAAATCAAGAAACAATAAACTTAGTTTCACACAAATTCACTCAAAATAGATAAAGGCCTTACTCAGGATCCAGATATCCTACGGTTCCCCGAACAATGCTTGAAACATGGGAGACTCCATCAACAGCAAGTTTTGAAAGACCAAAATCAGAAACCTTGGCTCTCATGTGCTTGTCGAGAAGAATGTTGCTGCTTTTTAAGTCTCTATGGATAACGACAGGAACACAACCCGTATGAAGATATTCAATCCCTGAACAACCATAAGAATTATACACTTAATATCATGTGATTGATTGATCATAAGAGAAGGGCTAATCAATCACAAAATTAGAGGAGAAGTAGTTTTATAGTCTAAAAGCATTAGCTTAACAATTCACAAAGGGTAAACCTTTGGCAGCATCTTCAGCTATCTCAAGGCGCTTAATCCAATTGATACTCCGACCATTCGCTAATGGACCTACAAGAAAAAAATTAGAGACAGGTGAAAATATGGATTTCTGCTCCTTGACTTGAGTCATGCAGGCTTACCATAAAGATTTTCCTTGAGAGTGCCATTATGCATGAACTCATAAACAAGCATACTATTCTCTTCATCTCGACAATAACCAAGAAGCTGCACCAAATTTCTATGATGTATTCTAGAAAGAAGAGTTACCTGGATCAAAGAAATACTACAAATCAATTACAGTATAATTTATTTTTAATTTTATGTATTTAGTGCTTTATTTAGAAACAAAGAAGGGCAGGCAAGAAGCTAGAAAACAAGGATGCCAAATATAAAGTTAAAAGAAAATTATGAGAAAACAGTAAGACTACAAATTCACTTGTTAAATAATTATTTAAAAATATCACAACCTCATTTGCTATTTTCTCTCAACTCTTGTTTTGGAGGGGTAAGATTTTATGGAATGGAACTAATGTAAAATGCTCTCGCCATTTTGTTTGATTCTATTTTCTTATGCCATCAGTTAATTTTATTCCTCCTTTGTCAATTCCTTTCCTCCCATCAACCCGAACAAACTCAGATACCATTCTAAAATCATTGATGGATTTAAAGAAAACTAGAAGTTGAACAGAAGAATTGATTGTGGGTACCAAATAACTTCATGATACCGCTTTGTTCCAGTCCATAAGCCAAAACTCTGTAATGCCGTTCTTGTTTAGAATAGTACTCTAGAAATGTTTGGTAAGATTAATGAATGTTTATTCACCAGCTTGTGTCAATAATTGGCCTGACAAAAACGGTCGACCTCAGATGTAACTACCAAAAGAGATGCTGCAAGTTACCTCATTGGAGAACTCTCGCTTGCCTTGATATGAATTGCTGGTTAAAACTTTAACTGCTATCTCTTTTCCATCTTTTAGCTTCCCATAGTAGACAACTCCAAAACCACCAGCACCAATATTTTTCTCAAAGTTATTTGTAGCATTTTCAATTTCAGAAAAACTGAAGCAGTGAGCAGCTTCTGCAGGATCATCATTCTTCCAAGAGGCCAGCCTTTGAGCAGGGAGAGAATCAATTCGGTCTACGAAGTGTGTAAACATATAAGTACTGATCATCTCAAATATCTAACAGACATTATAAATAGTTGTGTTTAAAATTCTACCTTTCTCATAATATTTTCTCTTGCCTTTACGCATAAACAAGCAAGATATAATAGTAGCCAAAAGTAGAACAGAAGCCCCAACTGATGAACCAATAATAACATACATGTGCCCCTTTATTTTGCTTTCTCTGTGAAGATTGAGGTTTCCAGAGTAGCTGTTGAGGATGACAGGAAAAAAGTAGAGGTTATCAAATGCAACTGGTGAAGAGGAAATAGAAAATTTAGCAACAGAAGAATAAAGGAATTGATCTGCTATAAGAAATACATAATTAACTATAGAGATCTGATGTAATAGCGTTCCAAGGAGAAAAATTTAAGCATATCAAGTTATACATGAAATAGAAAGTAGCATCCAATATTTACTAAGATTAGCTGGCAGATATTAAAACTGTTTTATCTAAGCAATCAAAGCAACATGATATCCAGCTGAAGGTCAGAAATTAAAAGATTAAATAAAAAGTATCTAAAGAGAGAGATAATGGTAAATATGAAAGAACAAAATAAAAGAAAACAAGTTGGTGAGGAAATGTATTGGATGTTAGCACATTTGCATACAAGTAAGCATTAAAATAAAAGAATAAATTAAATATTTTAAGAAAATAAAAGACACTCAATTGGGTCTTTCTCCTGAATAGTATCTTAATTGATCAAGCCTAGATTAGTTACTTTTTCTAGTTATAAAGCAGCCAAGTTCGTTTCATATTGTAACAGATATTAACCCATTACACGAACCAGATACAGGTGAACATATAAAGGTAAACAGTTAACAGGTGATGAGTGGATAAAATATCATTACATTTATACATTAATTTAGGTTAATTTCATATATTGTTGCATTATGGGAACGATTTCATCATGCATTATCGTTGTTTTGGATTATACATGTTGGTTTGTGCATTGTTCTTATAAATAGGTGTTTGGAGGTTTAAATTCAAAGTTTGGAGGGAGTTGGTGTCAAGATAGAAAGATTTCAGATCAGCAAGTTCCACATGTACCTTGTGAAATGTTTCACAACCTATGGATTTGATATCAGAATGCAAAGATCAAGATCAGAAAGCTCCACAGGTTGATTGTGGATATTTCCACAGCCTGTGAATTAGACTCTAGAAGATTGCACGAAGTCAGAGAGCTCCACAAGTGAGTTGTGGATGTTTCCAAAACTTGTGGATTTGTGGTTCAGAAGGCACAGTTGAAGTCAGAGAGTTCCACAGGTGGGTTGTGGATTTTTCCACAACCTGTGGAAATTCAAGACGGTTATGAGAAGTGGTAAATACCTCAACAAGTGGAGAAAAAACGTGGGACACCCTATAAAGAAGGTGGAACGAAACTGAAAAAAGGGAACTGGACAACCATCATTTTGAAATTTTACGTTCTAGTTATTATGTTTTAGTAATTTTTACATTATGCAGAACTGATTTTCTTTTTTGTTAGAGGATTGATGTAGTACTCTGAATTACATTTTTTTGATCTTGATAATTGATGTTTAGTTAATGTTCTTTATCTTAATGTTCTATTTATAATTTTCAAGTTCATTCCACGAGCAGTTTCACAATTGGGAGATTGGAGGTTATTCGCGATCCTAAATATAACAGGTTAGGGTTTGTCACAATTGGGAAATTGGGCATATATCTAATTAGTTTGCAATAGAGAAGATTATTGTTTTTTCATGATTCTATTAAATGGCGTAATTGACCTAAGGGATTGGGGGTTCGGATTCAATCAATAGTTTTGCCTACTAAGGGATTAGGGGTAAAACAACTCTGGGTAAACTCAAGTGGATAATTACATTTCTTGCATCAATTGAAAGGACTGGAATTATATAGGAAAGGGTATGAAATCAATTCTCTAACAGATCTTATTTTGACTAAAGTTCTTATTATAATTCTGTGTTTGTTTTTTTTTTTCCAAATTTTCAATTGCTCAAACTTATGTAAATTAGGAATCTAGTATTTAACAAATTCAATCCCAGATGGCGATATTTTATTACTACGTTAACGATTGGTGCACTTACCAAACGTTCATCAAGTTTTTAGCGCCGTTGCCGGGGATTGATTTTTCTGTTGATATTAGTGTTCTAATTCGCTTAAGATTTGAGTGTTAGTGTTTAGGTAGTCAAAACCGTTTTTATTTTAGTTATTTTCTTTTATGTTTTCATTATCTTGTTTGTTTTTTCTGTGTCACCTTAATTTTGTTATTAGAATATTGTATTTTTTTTAAGTTGTTTATGTGAGGTACAGTGGTAGAAAAAATTTTGCTTTTTGACCCAGAAATTGAATGTACTGCTAGACATAATAGAAGTGAGGCAAGAAAGAAGAAGCGAAAAGGAAAAGCAGAGACATCAAGTAAAAAGGAAGAGCACATATCAACAATGACAGAAGAACAACCAGAGAGGAAAACTCTTCTTGATTATTCTATTCCAGACATGAATAATTACCAAGGGAGCATTGTGAGACCTCCTATTCAAGTCAACAATTTTGAAATCAAGCCTGCATTGCTACAAGTCATCCAACATAATCAATTTGGAGGTGCAGTTGCATAGGATCCTAATTCTCATCTAGAGAATTTTCTAGCCATTTGTGATACTTTGAAGCTTAATGGAGTTTCAAGTGAGGCAATCCGCTTGAGGCTTTTTCCTTTCTCATTAAGGGATAAAGCTAAAAGCTGGCTTCAAACACAACCTCAAGGAAGCATCACTACATGGGAAGATATGGCTACAAAATTTGTAACCAAATACTTCCCTCCATCCAAGTCGGCAAGAATGAGAAATGAAATCACTACTTTTGTGCAGCAAGAGACTGAATCTATGTACGAGGCTTGGGAGAGGTACAAGGAGCTATTGAGGAAATGTCCACATCATGCTTTACCAGATTGGTTACAAGTCCAGATATTTTATAATGGTCTTATACCCTCTTTTAGAGCAATGTTGGATGCAGCAAGTGGAGGAGCATTTAATTTGAAGACACCAGCAGAAGCCTTGGAGACTATTGAGTTAATGGCAAATAATATAGGGAATATGCAGTTTGATCGTCAAAATAGAAAAGGTGTAGAAGTTAACACTTTGGATGCTATCCTAGCCCAAAACAAGTTGTTAACACAACAAATGACCGAGTTGACTAAGAAGATTGATAATGTGCAAGTGAAAGCAGTGAAGATAACACCTTTAGCATGTGATTTTTGTGGAGGAATGCATCAAAATGGTGAATGTCAAGTCACTCAACAAGAGGTGCAGGTGAATGCAGTGGGCCAACATCAGAATCAATTTGCTAACCATTTGAATACAAATTGGAGAAGCCCATCAAACCAACCTTGGAGTGGATCGAATCAATCCAATCAACCAAAGCTTCCATATCAATATCAACCACAATCTAACAACCAAGGAACTAAGGAACTAAGATGTTTACTTTTGAGAGAGCTTTAGAGAAGTTAACTGAGCAAACCTCAACATTTGTGGAACAAACTTCTAATTTCATAAATGAGGCAAAGACAAATTTCAAGAATCAGGAAGCTTCAATCAGAAATTTGGAAAACCAAATTGGTCAACTTTCACGACAAATCTCAGAGAGATCTCCTGGAACATTTCCTAGTGACACCATTACCAACCCAAAGGAACAATGTAAGGCAATTCAATTGAGGAGTGGGAGATTGGTAGAGAATGAGAAAAGGAGTGAGATGGGTAGTGAGAGAAAAGAACAAAGAGAGGAGATTGTGATAGAGAGTGAAAAAAAAGAGCATAAATATTGTGAAGAGGAGAATGAGGGGGAGAAAAGTCAAGAGAGTGAAAAGGGTAAAATGAGAGAATATGTTCCTACTATTCCATTCCCTCAAAGGTTGAAGAAGAAAGAACAAGAGACGCAATTTGCAAGATTTCTTGATGTCTTTAAGAAGCTCCACATTAATATCCCATTTGCTGAAGCATTGGAGCAAATGCCAAGCTATGCTAAATTCATGAAGGACTTGTTGTCAAGAAAAAGGAAGCTACAGGAGGATGAAACCATAATGCTTAGAGAGGAGTGTAGTGCAATCATTCAACAACAAAAATTACCTCCCAAATTGAAGGATTCAGGAAGCTTTGTCATTCCATGTGAGATTGGAAATTTAATGGTAAACAAGACATTGTGTGATCTTGGGGCGAGCATCAATTTGATGCCCTTGTCCATTTTTAAAAGGTTGGGTATCGGAGAAGTGACGCCTACTATGATAACTCTCCAATTGGCGGACCGATCAATGACTTATCCTTATGGAGTGGTGGAGGACGTCTTAGTGAAGGTAGATAAATTTATCTTTCCAGTTGATTTTGTGGTCCTTGACATGGAAGAAGATACTAAAGTCCCAATTATATTGGGAAGACCATTTTTAGCCACAGGAAGAGCATTAATAGATGTACAACCAGGTAAATTGATGTTAAGAGTAGCTGATGATAAAGTCACTTTCTCCATATATGAATCATAAGGTGGACAAGGAGGATTGTTTCCGGGTTGAAATCATCGAGTCTCTGGTGTTAAAAGAAAGGGGTAATCATCTGAGGAAGAGTACGTTAGAGCAAACTCTGTTTTCCGGAATGGGAGCAAAGGAGTTGATTGAAGAAGTGAGTGAAGAAGAGTGGTGCAGTGTGCTCATCAATTAGAAGCTCTCAAGCCATTATTCAGTTCCACTAGAAGAATAGAAAACTTAAACAGGAGTTACATTGGCGAAGAAGAGACATCTACGGAACCACTCCCTTCTCATCTTAAATATAAATTCTTAGATGACACAATGTTTAATCCTATTATTATAAGCAATGCACTGACTACTGTTGAAGAAGAAAAGCTTTTAAGGGTATTGAGAGAGCACAAATCTGCTATAGGTTGGAAAATTGATGATTTGAAAGGTATTAGTCCCACTTTGCGCATGCATAAAATCTTTTTGGAAGAGGACTTCAAACCTATTCGTCAACCACAA